GAATAAGATCCAGTATAACGGAAAGCGCTTCAATCCAGATCGACTTTAAGACGTCCGTATCTTACGAAAAATATCTATGAAGAGTAGTAGCAACGAGGCAATTTTGCGGTGATGGATTTCAACTTCGAAGCAGAGATACGCAGAAAACTGAAGGTGCAGTCTCCCGAGAAGGTTCTTTGTGGAGCTCCGCCAAACCGATCAGATTCTACGGTGTCTGTTTACATTAGACAACTAAAAACCGTGTATTCGGCTGGAGACTTTGGGCCGGACGTGATGAACAGTCTCGACTGGATTGAGGACCATGAACATGTGATTTCAACCATAGAGAGTCTTACATCTCGTGATGGCAAGCTTCTTAAACCTCTGACAAAGAGTAATTATGCGGCCCATTTTGCTATTCTTGCTTCTGGAGAGACGCAATCAGCGTATTCGAAGTATATGCAGAGGATGAAGCCAACCGAGGAGGAGCTCGATCGTTCTATGCAGAGAAAGACGCCGAAAGAGGTCGACAATTGGATTCCTTGGTCCGAGCTCTTAGAAAAAGGATCGGAACTCGACGATCAGATCAACCGCTATGTTGTGCCAAAGTTTCACAAGAAGGAACGCTTGGATCGCCATGATAAGCAGTTGGTTATGGACCATCTCATTCTTGCACTCTATACGATGCCCTTGGGACCTTTGCGGAATGAGTACGCAGAATGCATCTTTTTCATGAAGGACCACGAAAACGATTGCATTGCGATCAAACCGGGTGACATCAACGTCGTCGAGTTGAACGAAGATCCCAATAAGTGTTTCTTTCACATTGGTCGACATAAGACCCTCGAAAAAGATGGCGTTCGTTGCCTTGAGGTTCCTGAGGATCTCGTAAAAGTCATACTTAGATCCTTTAATCTGATTCCTCGAAAACATTTGATCCTTAAGAGGCATTATCTCGTCTGGAAAGATGAACCGATATCGAATTTTACCGTAGTTCTTAACGACCTTGGTCAGCGCCATTTCGGTAGGAATCTTAGCTGCACTTTGCTTCGACACATCTCACATACTGAACAGAGTCCGAAGCTGATGTCCCGTGGTGAAGTGAGAGCAAAGGCACAATACATGGGCCATAGCATGAGGACTGCGGATGAGCTCTATAGTAGACGATTTGAATAAGTGGGCAATTCTCTTCTTTCTACACTTTGTGTGCGTTCTCTGAGAAGCACTTTTTCTATGTTAGAATTATCAGGAGGCATCAACTGCACTCCAGCCATGGAATCGACGAATCACAATCATGGATCCACCGCGTGTGCTGCTTGTTTGGAAGCGAGCATCTATAAAGACGACCATCAGGCCAAGAAAAGAGAATATTCAAAGAAGTTACTATCAAGTACACAAGGACGAGATTCTCTTGAAGAAGGCTCTTAAACGAATTGCGAAAGGAAGTAAGACAAGCAGACGGACGAGGCAGCGACTTTATGATGCACAGATTGCTCTTCCTTGGATTCGATCGTACTAATCAACACGTCTTTGCAAGCGTGGGCTCCGTCGAGTGCCGCGTTGCATGTCGAACAAATTTTCTGGGATTGAAAAATATAAGGGGGCTTCGGACCTCCTTTGGTCTGTGGAAAAGCATGGCAACAAACTCGATTGTGAACATGTTAGAAGCGTATGCTCAAGAAGGACTATACGCTGTTCCGGCAAAAGTCAGAGCGACAGACAAAGGATCGAAGGAGATTTTGGCAACGATGCCGCATACAAAAGCCAATCACGCAATACGTACAGCATCCGATTGGAGAATGGCGCGGGATCGCATCATGGAAAAGATTGAAAAAGAATAATACAACTTCTTGGCAATAAAGACGGGAACCATTTCGGACATCTTTGTGTTTGATATAGACACACGAGACAAACCGGAGAAAGATCTCCAAGCTGGCATGCCTCTCTGGAAAAGACTGATCGCGGAACACGGGGAACCAGATACTTTAAAAGCCACTTCTGCCAGCGGAGGCCTCCATTATTACTTCTCGTACGGTGAATCACTCAAAGACGGACTCCAATCAGGAAAGTGTTTTGCTGGAGTGGACTATGAGGGCATGTATTATGGACTCGATGGGCGCGGAGATGGAGGCATCGTTCTGGCCCCGCCAGGCTCACCTGAGATTGGATTGAATTACACTTGGAGCGCACAACCCTTAAGGACAAACATCCAACCAGCTCCATCATGGTTGATCCGATTCCTCAACGATTCTGCTGGGAGATCCGCAAACAAGAGTCTCGTGTTGACTTCAAGCGATCGAATTCAAGAGTTGTTAGCAAATGGTGCTGATTTCGAGCAGATAAGGGGGCTCGAATCAAGCACCGTCGAAGAAACAATGCGTGTGGAGGTGAATACCAATGACTCACAACGTAGACAAGCACTCGAGCACAAGAAGATTGCTGATGCAATGATGCAGCTGTTACAAGACGCTAGACTCGACACGGATGTTCGCTTTTCTGGCAATGTGACCTACCAGGGTCCATATGGTATGCTCTACTCATTCATCTGTCATGGTCCTCGAACCTGCATACACATGGTCATCAACACACTGGTAGCAACAATCTGACTCTCGTGAAAAGAGGATGGACGGTATTCTATCGATGCTTTGGCTCCGAATGTACCGAGAAGCCTCTTACGGAGCTCGGCAATATCCCGATACCAGTGTCGTTGTTGGATTCGAATCCTGTACGTCTACATCCAACTCATGACTGGAGTACCTTTCCAAATAACATCAGAACGCTGTCGCAGGATGCTGTGAAAGCACAAATGAATCTTATCCGGCGTAACGTGACGCAGCGCTATCGAGGCATGGCTGCAATCTTCTCGGCCATGTATCTCGTCGACGGACGCATCATTGCTGAGGGCAAATGCTTTCACTACTGGAACGGTCGCAGATGGATAGTCGATAACGCGTTCCATATACAGACCGTCTTCAGTAACCACATGGCTCGTATCATAACCTGGTATTCGAAATGGAGATTGAATGCTTTCAAGCAGGAGATCTGCGCACGCATGAGAGGCTCTGCAACAGAGCAGAACGTCTCATCAATGCCAGAATTGGTCCTTTCAGATTGGGCATTGAACCCAACAAATGAAGAAGAAAGAAAAGCATGTAGCATTGCATGGAGGGTGGTCAACAAAACGTATCCGTTTCCAACAAAGAGAGATCTAGTGGATCTGACACGGGGTTCCGAGGTTCGTGTATGTCTTGAATTTGTCATGAACTCCTTGCAGGCTCCCCAATCTCTCAGCGAGATGATGGATATTGCCAATCCGTTCTTGTTTGCCTGTCAGAACGGCGTCATTAATACCGAGACCGGAGAGTTGCTCGCATTTCATCCTGCTCACCTGTGTTCGCGCGCGTCGAAAGCAACTTTTCGTGGAATGCCAAAGGCCGGAAGCCGATTCGAGAGGTTCCTGCTTGATTGCTTCAACGATGACAGAGAAGTACTCGAATGGTATCAGCTCTTCTGCGGCTATTGTATGATGGCAGATACGAGTAAACAATTGTTCCTTGTCAAGCAAGGCAATGGAGCTAATGGAAAATCGTTGACAAAGCTGGCAAATCTCGAAGTTCTAGGCAGTTACGCTGTCGTTATGTCAGAAGACTGCATCATTGAGGCTGGTAAACGGTCGGCTGGCGCGGCTTCGAGCCACATCATGGCTCTTCGGGGCGGGCGGCTTGCTGAGACCGACGAGTCGGGAGAGAAAGCAGTTCTGAATGAGGCCGCAATGAAAGCCCTATCAAGCGGGGGGACGACTACAGGGCGCGAGCTGCATAGCAGACAAAAAACATTTGAGCTCACCGTGAAAATCGTCCTCAACACGAACTACAAACCTATTCTTCAGAACGTATCCTACTGTGTCACTCGACGCTTGGCACTACTCCCGATGTTGGTCACTTTCTTACCTCCTGAAAAACTTGATTTTAGCAAACCACGCCAAAAGCTTATCGATACTACTCTTGAAGCATACCTGAAAAGCGACCAAGGTCGAGATGAAGGTCTATCATGGTACACACAAGGAGCAAAGTGCTATCGTGAACTCAAGCGAACGAATCCCAACACGCTACCACTAATGCGTAGACCTCGTGTCATGGAAGAAGCTGTTAGAGCATACATCAACGACTCGGACATTGCTAGGCGATGGATCGTCGATTGTCTCGAATTCGAAGATATTCAACCCGAAGAAAGAGCGACATGGCACTTGGCCGTTGGCGAACGGCTCGGAGAGGTGTTTCGAGCTTGGTTGAAAGAAGAAGACTTGACTAGCTCTCTGTCGGCGACGGCGCTGAAAAAGCGCATCTTGGAGTATGCTGAAGGCAAAAATCGGGTGGTTGCAGACGGCCGATTCACTGATAGCCAAGTTCAGTCCCAAGGACAGTTTAAAGGCCTTTTGGGGGTTCGACTGAAATCCGGCTATGAATCTCATGTGTAAGAGTAGGTGAAGACGATTCAAGCAAGCGCTTACATGCAGAGGGGAGCTATAGACTTTGCAAGCTGATTGCTTGGTAAGATATATTTTCCAGGATTAAGTTCCGGGCTTCTGGTCTGCAGACCAAAAGTCTATAAGACCACGATTTCAAGAGTTTCCAATTTCAGAATTCTCTAGGCACCATGATTGCTATAATTGAAAAGATTTGGAATCCGCGTCTTCTGGGCTTCTGGTGTGCAGACCAAAAGTCTATAAGACCACGATTTCAAGAGTTTTTGATTTCATAATTCTCTAGGCACCATGATTGCTATATCTGAAAAGATTTGGAATCTGCGTCTTCTGGGCTTCTGGTCTGCGGCCCCATCTAGGCACGGTTATGCCACTGGCACAAGTACCTTTCTCGTTTGCACCAAAGTGATATAGCTTCTTATGATGATAACGACCACACATTATGCACATCGATGCTGTTGGAACATGCATGCAGCATATGATCAAACGTACAAGTCATGGTAACTTTTCGATTGGTGTCTTTGCTTCATTAGGGTGTTTAGTACATCAAGAGTCGTTGCCGTACAGCCGGACTCCACGTGTCCGCTCTGCCCGCAATGCGCAGCTTTGGTTCGTCAACCCGTGCTAGATCGCTATTCCTTTCGCTGACTAGATTAGCGAGGATGACCATGAACGCTACGAGGCTGCTATACCACGCTTGCGTCTTGAAGGTGACGAGGAACGCGTTGCACGACTCCACTGCCGACGTATTGACCCATCGCACAGAGTCGTAGTAGTCTGCACGTAATACGGGGATTGAATTAGTTCATCATAGGAAAGCCTTGAGACATGGCGTTGTAGAAGAATGCTGCATAGACATGCACTCTTAGAAGGCAGTCAAAAGTTGCCTCCCTCTTTTTTATAGAAGAGCGAGGGCGTTTTTTACTGAGGCACTTCAAACCCGTTTTTCTGCAAACGCTATGACTTGGCGCCTTCTTCGACTCAAGAATTGGTACCATCTTACAAATATATCAGGGTCTTACCCGGATTGTAAGAAGGGCCGCATTTGTGCGCCTCCGCAGAAGTGCGTTGGAAGTGGAATCTGCAAAAGATGAAGCATGGATTGATAAATAAAAAGGTACAAAGAGTTCACAATTGAAGTGACTTGCGACGCTTGCATGGCAACAGCGCAGAGGATCATAAAAACTGTATTCAACAAGAGCCGCCACTTGGCTTGCATGATTCTTCACTCACCGATCAACCAAAAAACGGACTTCTGCAAAGAACGCTGGCTCTCTCCGCATCGCGTAGGCACGCAGCTTGCAGGCGTTGTCGTAGACCAGGTATGAGGGGAGATCTTTCCGATTGAGGCGAGTGTACAGAACGGTGAAGGGGTCTCGCGGCGACTCCCCGCGGAGCATGACGTGGAAGCCATAGATGACACAATGAGGGCACGAAAAGACAAAGCCGCCCTTTGTGTGCCGTTGCAGGCTCTTGTTCTTCTTGATCCCGCTTTCCAGAGCGACCTTGGCATCGAATTCCCCGACGGTAAGCCCGCTCCGACACCGATGCTCCTCATCGCGCTCGCGAGACCTACCGAGGTCGTCTTCGAACGGTTCGTATTGCGGAAGGGCGCGTTTCTGCTCCCATCCTGGAATTGGATAGCAGCCAAGCTCTCGTTGCTCGCGGCAGTAAGGATGGTCCTGGGGAAGAGAGCCGCGCTCCGATCCGTCCGCCTCGAGACCGAGCCTGTCGTTCAACAAGATCCGTTCTGGCGGAAGAAGGGCGTACTCGTGCAGTGCTGGAGGGGAAAGGCTTTCGACTCCGGGGAGAAGAGCATTCGCCCGGGCCGCCCAGAAGTCGAAGGCTTGCTGTTGCTCGAAGTTCAGGGGTTTTGGCTCCCGCTCCAGCCAGACGCAGACATCGAGGCCTTCGATCGCCGACAACGCCCATCCCGCCCGTCCAATTCCAAGCCCCATCGCTCCGCGCGCAAACAGTGTCAAACGGTAAAGGTGGTGTAGCACGGGATGGAAGTACCGGGGAAAGCGGTCACCGAAATGGTCTAGCAGCAGACGCAGGATAGGGGAATGCTCGGCCAGCACGACCCTGTTCTCATCGTTTGCGGCTCCTCCAAGGAGCAGCTTACGGACCACCCCCAAGGCTTTCCCGTGTTGGATGAGATTCGAGTCGTCTGAGACCGAATATGGGGCACCTAGAGTGTAGAGCAGTTCCGCCCATCTGCCTGGGCAGCGGGGAGGCCATTGGGGCGCGTCTTGCATCGCTTCTCTCTCGATGCCGTCAAGCAGCTCGAGCACGTCTTTGTTCTTCGACCGAACCTGGCCGACCTGATGAGCCGGAATCTGCCGGCGCCAGTGCAAGAGCACCGGGTCTGCATCGGCATCGGCTGGATCCTGGGCAAAGCCCGTGACGACTTGCACATCGTCCCTAGCGAGCGCGACCTGCACAAAGACGCTAGATCAGGTCAGCTGCTCGAAGCGAGCATGCATGAGCACTGCAAATCTTTCTTCCGGATCTAACAAACTGAAATACTACAGTCAAAAGTCGCCTCCATTCCTCTAGAATATGATGGGCGACTTTTGACTGAACCCGTTTACCAGAGGGATGTGTTGCAACGCGCTGACAATCCGAACAAGGTTGCCGGAGGAAAAGACCATGCTTGCAACTCGATCAAAGTCGTAGCAGAGCGCTGGCATGTAGCCCTTCCGGCAAATCCTTAGGTAGAAGTATTGCCTTTTGGCAAACATCCGGCCACCGCAGTCAGAACGGCCCTCCTTCTCTCTATAAAATGAGGGGCGCCTTTTAACTGGCCTCTCTCTAAAATCCGGCCTGCCGCAGCTGAGAGTGGGCCGGAGTCAAAACGGTCCTTCTTTCTTCTAAGAAATCATTATGGGCGCCTTTTGACCTCTCTCAAATATCCGGCCTACCGCAAGCAAAAAACGGGCCGGAGTCGAAACGTACCAGAAGCTCCTTGTATTCTCGTGTACTCAGCGTCTTCCCTAGCTTTGGGTCAGCAGCATGGTGTCCGCTGAACTGCGCTAGAAGCGTCCGAAGCTCGGGTTGATGCAGGAGACGCTTTTTCAGCCCCCCTCCCGAAAGAGACGCCGCCAGGTAGTTACTTCCGGCCTCCATGACTCTCTGTACGTTGACTTTATCGGAGCCTTGACTTGGCGCCGTGAAGGGCCGAAGCAGGGCGGCATCGGTTCCGGCAAGCCCGCCCTTCTGACGCGTGCCGTCGGCGCAAGCAAGCCTCGCAATGCCGTCGCATAGAAGCACCTTCACAAGAAAGATGATCCAGTGCTCTTGAAAGAATGAACTTCATAAATCTTAGGTGCCCACGCTCTAATGACGTCAGCAATAAGCGACCGCAAAAAGTTGGTGCCAGAGCTTGGACATTTTGGACACTTGGACACGGCGGCAGGATTGACTCGGGATGTGATGACGTCATCAAAGGTGCCCAAAAATTTCAATGGTGGTTGGAAGAATCAAGTGCCTTCATGGATTGTGGACAAGGGACTTAAGTGATGCAAAACGCACCTCTGGATGTGGTCCGCAGAGGCTACAACACTCCATGATCTGCCGCCCGCACAGCTTGAAGAAGCCAAGGCTCGCCTTACGCCAACACTCTTCCGACAAGAGGGTCGCGCTGGGATTGTATTGACGCCGTACCGCACTCCCAGCTGCAATGAGCGGGCTGAAAGCAGCTCCCGATTTCTGAACGTCTCGTAGCAGTATCTGACAAGCGACCTGCGTGACGACCACCGCGCGTGTCCACGCGTATAGACCGAGCGCCTCTCCATTGAAGTGAACGGTATGCTTCTCAGGGCAGGCGCAGCAATAGATCCGGAGCTTGACCTGCACAGTAATTGGGTCCAAATGGTGCCCATTATTTACTGACAGCTTTGATTCGAACTGGGTATGTTGCAATCATGTTAGAGTATCAGAAAGTAGCCTGAAACATTGCACGACTCTTTACACAAATCGTCTGCTTTTGTCTGGTTGAGTATTCTTTATATCAATACTAACTTTACAAATCATTCTGTATGCCAACGCTCCTATCTTATCAGCCTCTGCAAGAAAGACATAGACTGTAGAGCTATACGCAATGGTCTTTACCTCTTGCGCGACCAATACAAGTCGTGTATTTGTGCACTCTGCCACAACCCCGACCATCGGGTCCTGCAAGGGGGTGGGCCTCGCGGGCACGGGGCCGAGAGACATTCCGCAGCGCTCAACTCTTCGAAATCCCGGGCCGTGAGCTCGCTGACTCGAACTGGCCTTTGCAGCAGCAGCACCTCGGGGTCGTGAACCTGCCAGGAGTCCGTGGGGCGAACGAGCTTGGGCACCTCCAGCTGCACGCCCTCAGCTTCCATGGGCAACACCGTCGCAATCCCGTGGGAGGCACCGTGCGTGCACACATTCGAGGGGCACACGCAGATATTACACACCGGAATCGAGAACGCGTTCCGATCCTCGACCTGGAGGGCACTTTCCGTTCCCCGCCCCCTCTCCTCAGCTGCATCCGACTCAGCTTCCCCCGTGCTGCCCGTTGCAGCATCCGGCTCCTCCGTTTCTGTGCCTTCTGCCGTCCAAAATGATTTGGTTCTCCGTTTGCCCGATCTCGCGCTCGCCTCCCCAATGCCACCGGAGCTTTCTCCTTGCTCCGATCGAGCTCGCTTTCCGTTCGTTTGTGCAGACGTGCAGCACCTCACTGCGCAGAGCTCCACGTCCACTTCAGCGCCGCCAAACACCCTCGGATGCTGCTTGCAGAAGCAGCTCGGCCCTTCGCATGCAGCCCTTTCGTGGCTGCCGACGACTAGCTCCGCGAGTACCCGTCCACGTCAGCGTCTGGCGCACACTGCCCGCTATGCGCCACGCCGTCACCGCCCCGGCTATCACCTAGCCCGTCCTTCAAAGACGTTTTTGCGAGCTCGAGCTGCCCCTCCGAAAATGAACTCTTGCTCAATTTGTCCACACCGCTCGGTCCACTCAAAGCTCGCTTCACCCCTTGAATGTGCGAGCAGTCAGCAGTCTTGCTGCATCCGCTCTTCCTCCCCTCGCAATACCAGCCCATCCGCGCCCCCTCTCCATAGTGGACCATTGTCCTCTGAGGTGATGGCGAACCAACGTTCCAGTACACCCCAAAAACCCGCTCCCCGGTCCTGTCGCATGGTATCTCCATCACCCGCGTCCCAATCTGCAGCGATATGGCGCTCGCTAGCCTTGGCGGCTCCAACGTCTGAAGCGCAAGCTTGTGCACGCAGGGGGCCCGAGCGTACAACCGGCCCCGGTCGCAGGTGCAGCTCAGGTTTCCCAAGGTGTCCCGATGCACCGTCTCGAGCAACGCGCGCACTTTGCTAGGGCGCCCGAGAGGTTTGGGCCTGGCGGCGTTGTGATTCCCGGTGCTAGCCAGATAGACCGTACTAGCAGAGCCCTGTTCGCCGACATTGTACAGAGCGCACTCTCCTGATCGGAGGCCATCGAGATACATCACAGCTTGGTCGACAATGGTCCGACAATCGTCTGCGCTCGACGCTTCGCCACTCCTTGCGTGAAGTTGCCCCTGCATCCACATCGGAAACGTAGTTAGACATGCTATAAGTAAGCGCTATACAGACATCCAACAATGCTCTTAGAACAAGTTTGGAACATCAGCCTGATATGTTCGACCTCTGTTAATGACTTGCTGTTGGTGAAAGACAAAGGCTCCACAATGCTCCGAACCGCGGTGTTATCCATCAGCATAAGATCTTTGACTTGTTTTCTGTTACTGTATGGCTTTTCTTGTTGTGCTGACTTGGATCAAACACACATCAATTTTCATGGTGTAAAAAAGCATATGGATAGTGCTCAATCAAACATTCACAAGCAGATGCAGAGGCTCTTAGGGTTTGAAGATCTGCATTCCTGCTCACCTCCACTTGCGCGCTAGATCTTGCTGTTTCCCCCGCTTTTCGACCCCGGTTCACTGCTGCTTGCGCTGCAGTCGTTTTGCGGCGCCCGCCCGGCCGTTCCTCCTCTGCCTTCTCCCGCAGGTTGCCAACCTCTTCGCCCGACAACTTCTTCAGTTGTCTCCATTCCGCCCCTAGTGACTTGCGCTGAAACCAGACCTCAACTGAACCCGCCGAGCCTCGGTTGGTTCTTCCTACGGTGATTGTCAGATTGTCAGCACACTGAGTGACAGGACCGAAATGCCGCTTTACGCACTCCAGACAAACAGGCTGGCGCTTTCTCTGACCCGTGGCAACTGATTTGGGTGAGGTGATTGCAAAGCCCTTCAGTGCGGCTTAGCTTTTCCGGAATGTGAGTTGGTAGTCTTTTGTCACTAGTGTTTGTCTGCAAAGCGGGCACTTGGTAGCTAGTGAGTTAGCGGGAATATTTCCGTAGGCATTTGGATCTACAATAATGTTGCCACAGCTAACCTCCCTCTGACTCGCCGGGTGCAAGCTATAAGTCGAGGTGTTTGGTCGGGCCACACTGAACCCTGGGGTTGATTGCATGTTCCCCGAGCTTCTTCAAGATGGCAGAGGGATGGCCGGATTGCTTGCTGGTTAGCGCATAGATGTGGTTCTGAGGGTGCGAGATTGGTTGAAACTCGACTCGGATGCGTAGAAGGTCCAGTTGGATATGAAAAAACTGAGAGAATATTTGACCTTTTATACTCTGACTTCCGGGCCGACTGGACCAGTTTCGGACGCCGTGCAGCCTGCTTACGTGGCCGGTCGCTCCGTTGGCAGGCCTTTTCGGACGCCCTATAGCCTGCTTACGTGGTCGGTCGCTCTATTGGCAGGCTTCTAGAACGGTCCAATATTCGGTTGGCGGTCCGCCGGGTTTCTGTCCTGAGATGGGTCAGGCTGTTAACCTCCTCGACCGTAAATCGACGCTCGCGGCACCCGGACCGATTCGCTTCCGCGCTCTATATCCAGCAGGGGGTCCCGACCCGAAATTCCTCTCCGGTACACGATTCGAAATACCGTCATATTGACGGTTTCTTCCGCTAGGGAGACGCGCCGGCCGCTATCGACGCCGTTGATACGCCATCTGGCACGCGCGCGCGATCTGGGCCGTAAAATTAAGGTGGTAGGACGGTAATTCAGCCAGAAAAGAGGGTTTCTAGGGTTTGAAGGGGCGTAACTTGGTCATAACGTGGTCAAATCGAGTCCCGTCTTTTGCATCTTTCGGGGGGGACCAAGGAGGCCCCCTCGAGCACTCTGGGACCACCTCGAACTCACTGACGACTTGTCGAGGAAAGTCTGAAGTTGAGGAAGTTTGAACATTTACCCCCCTACATGAACCCTTGGCCGTCAGAAAAACGAAATGATAGAATTCTCATTGACCCCCCTAAAACTGAATCGGGGCAAGCTGGGATGTCTATCGAACGGTTAAATCACAATATTGACGAAAATGTGCACCGTTAATGGTCAAAACTCCCAGCTTATATGCTCAAAATGGTTTTTTCTCAGGTTGTTGACCAGGTATGTTCCCCTGGCGGTGCACATTTCCGTCAGATTTTTTTTGGAAAAATGTTTTTGACATCCCAGCTTGCCCCGAAGGTGATTTCCTCTTGTTCGAAGGAAATTTATCGTGGCAGTTGACAGGCAGAAAATCCAATGGAAATACCCCTTTGAACCAGGTTGTTTGGAGTTGGCAGGGTTTCTCAGACTGACCCAAACTACTTCGAGGTGGTTAGAGGAGCTTCGAGAGGACCCCGAGGGTGTCTCGAAGCCATTGGAGAAGACGAAACCTGATTTGGTTTAGTTTTGAACATTCTATGAACCAGAACGTAAACCAGGGTCAATCCAACCTGAATTACCGTCCTACCACCTTAATGCCATTCAACAGATGGTGAACCCGTGTCCATGGCGCCATCTTGATTGTCCGTACAGCTTGGACGTAGTGCGAAGCGGCAGTACGGTCGAAGTGACCATAGGCGATCAGCAAACAACGGGTATATATCGAGGAAGGTAACCGGCAGGTACATATTCTACCAACACCGTAATAAGATCATCGAAGTTTGAAACCTACAATTTAAGATGGTAAATATTCGGACGTTGTGATACATACTTGCATGAGCATTGGCTTATACGATGTCCGGCATAGGCAGGCGGTGTCCGGTACTTTGTCGTCGTGTTATGATACTGAATAGCTCTACAACGCGCCATCTGGCTGCGACACAGCGGCGATACAGCAGCCGGTCGAGGCGCGCCGGGCTCCGGATCGTACCCGGAAGACTGCTGACCTCATACCTATTACGGCGTCGGTAGTCATCATGAAAATTGACGGTAGCTACCATGAGGGACATTTGAGAACTAGGGTTGGGACTTGCATGCAGGTGACTGGCCCGGCGGACCGCCCAGCGGGCCTGGCCGCGCGCGCGCCCCTTCACTTCTAGTTCGTCCGGCGCAAGGTTTGTGCAGCCTGCACTCAGGCAGCCGCGGGGACAGAGCTAGGAGTCGGACTCGGGATCCTGGGCGAAGAACACACGAAGAAAGAAAAGAGAGAGATGAAGAAAAGCGGGATGCTGCATGTGTTAAAACTTCTGTCTTGGCAAGTCCAGTCTGTTCCCTGTCTGTTCCAGTATTTGATTATGGGTACATGGGCAAATTTGACGGGTTGTCAGCTGAGGCACCAGCAGTCTTTCCCAGCCCTATCTAAATTGCCTTGTTCGACAGCTTTCAGCTAGTGGAGGTTCGGATTTCAGATACTGCTCAGAAAATTGATTTTCCCCAGTCTTTTTCTTAGCTACCGGCCTATGTCCATGTTCCGCAAAATGTAGTCAACCTTAGACGGCCTATAGTGGACTATCTCATCGCACCCTCCAGAGCCTGCCCGTCTGGGTTAGTTCAGCGCCCTGTTGCAAGCAGCAATTAGAGCCTGCAAGAGCTTTGACGACTGTATGAAAACCCCAGTCATAGAAAGCAGGTCGTTATGGCTTTCTTTCGCCCTCAGCGCGCCGCAGATTGTGCGATGCACAAGTTGCAGGAGCTGTGCCTGTACAAGATCGTGGACAACCTGGACATGCTGGGGTGAGCTGCTAATTTTTATGTATAAATCAGAAGCTTTGAAGTCTCAGACAGTGATCGGGCCTTGACCTCAACTGTTTCCCGCATGACCGATCATGGCACAGTTTACCACCACCAACCGCAAGTGATAAAAATGCACATCAGCTTTTCTCAAAACCCTTCAATGCAAAAGCAGTCGGGGAATGAGTACTAGCGTTGAATCAGTCCTATCGGACATGAAAGACGAGCCTCGATTGGTCGGCCAACTACTGGTTGAAGTCTGTTGACTTTGCGATTAGGTAAACCCAGGACGAGCCCCAGCATAGTGGTGTGGCCACCATGATTGCTTATTGTATCTTTGATACATACCGGCATGGTGCACTTGTAGGACGATGCCGAACTCAATCAATGTGGTCGTTGACAAGTTTTTCCATTATGTTTTGTTCTGATGCTGGGTGTATAGGGCCTTCTTTTGCAAGTCTTCTGAAGCATTTAGTGTCTTCGTCTTTTCACGATAGAAGCTTTCATGGCGGTCTTCTGTCCATCTTGCAGTTTGACAGCTTGTCTGCACAACCGATTCCTTGCACCATGTCACCTGTTTCGGAAGTAACCTTCTAGAATGCATCAAAGGCGCAAATAAGCATGAACTGGCATAAATGCGCAGACAAGCCGAGACGAGCTGTCTACCAGCTTTGAGCGCTTTCTTTGGCAACTCGGACAGAAGGCTTTTGTTCAGATCATTTGGCAAGTAAAGTGTGGCGCCTTGGGCTTGGCACTTGTTCCTCCTAGTTTCCCTTGTTGGGACCCTCATTCCTTAGCGAAAATGAGACCAGATTTTGTGTGAGCGTTTCAACAAGGGAATAGGCAGTCAGACCGTCTTATCAGAGCATTTCATGACAACCAGCAGAACTGCGGCCGTTACAATCTGAGGCAAATAATCGGGAGAACTCAGGACCGGTGAGGCTGGAACCTGGAGGCGATAGCCTACTCATTGTAAACAGTGTAAATGCTGTCTCAAATCCCGCTATATTGCTGCGATGCAGAGACGTTGGGGACACGCCTGCCATCTTCCTTGAGAGGATACTTGCCCACTGCACTTTAGACCAGCTGAAAAGAATCGAGGACGCCTCCAAGGTACTACTTGTGTCCCTCATCACAAGAAACCCCCTCGAGAGAGAAGCAAGTTGGAAGGAGACTCAGCAACGGGAGATCTAGATGCAGAGCTTTGCGATCTGCTGCGGTCTGTGCGGTACAAACCTGTCTACTGGGATTTAAACTTGTGCTGCGAGGTTAAATTAGCTCGGAGGTTTTTCCGTTTCAGAGGAGGTCAAGGAGCTAATATTTAATTGTCGTCCCGCAGAAAGCAGGAAGTCGGGCCTGATGCCGCACATATTCGTTGACACCTTCAATTCGGGTGACGTGTGGGGGCTTGTTATTTCGCCGGTGGACAGGAGTCGCTTGACTGTCTCAGCCCTTCTTCCCACTCCGTTAGAAAAATGGCAGCTTGCTGACTGCAAGCTTTCGTCATCCTCCAGGGACGGGACCTGGAGAGCATCACCAACGAGTTCTGGCACCGCTTCTATCAGAAGAAGTGGGGCGCGGAGGCCACCGGGATCATCGAGAACCGCGTTCAGAAGAAGGGCCTGCCTCTTCGCTGGCGAGCGCTCTACGACGTGAGCTTTGTGATTGCAGTCTCCTAGATTGTTGGAAAGAGGGTTAGTGGTTACCAAGGAACATTCTCAGGTTGCTGTGGATTGGTCGAGGCTGTAATTCAAGTCGTATTGTGTCACAGATTCTATCAATACTGGGGATGAGACACGTCAGATATCAGAGTGGCAATAGGTGATCTGGATTCGTCGACTACGATTAACAATTGCGGGCTGGTGTAGCTCTTTTGAAAAGCATCATTCCGTTCTTCGTTGAGTCTCGATGGGATGGTCGGGCGTATTTCCCTGGTGGCACAAGGCCGCCCTGCACATTGCATCAGCTTATCGCCCAGTCAACTCAAACGTTGTAGTGTGACGTGAGGGTGCTTGGTGTATTGTTTGATCGAACAAATAAAAGCCTCCTTCTTGACACACCTGAAACCACTTGAGGACGGAGCTAGAGAGAGTATTGCTTGTAGAAGATGCTCAGCTGTCCGCTGATACCTCGCACTGTCACTCTAGAAGCTTGAACCAATGCACAAACGGCAGGCTAGGATGCTCAACTCTGCTTCAACCTGGAAGTACAGACTATGATCTTCTGGAAAGCCCCAACAGACTTCGCCCTTTGTGTGGCATCGGTCCGTGCTGTATCCTTCGAGACTGGTCCCGCCTTCCGTGACGAGGCACGTGAGGCTCGAATCAGTACTGACTTCTGGTGGCCTTACTTCCTCATAATTTCGGACGCTTTGGGCACTTTATAAATGTCATTTTTTATTGTCCGCGCAGCACAAAGTGAAGCAGGAGGAGCAGATCCAGGCCAAGTGCGTCAGCCGGCTGCGGGAGCTCTTCATCAAGGAGAAGAACGGTGAGTCGGTCAGCCGCCTACGGTCAAACCTCCCGGGTTCAAGCTCTTGGCGGTCGACTTGTGCGTTTGGCTCGACGGGGAGAGTATCTCTATATTTGAAGTCTTTCATTCCGGAGGCTTAAGTAGCCCGTGGAGTCGTCGAGCGTTTTGCAAAGTCTTGAGTACCGTGAAGCCGGTCCAGAGTCTCCGACGCTTCACCTGGCCGATCGTCAGCCGGCGTGCAGTGATACTTCTCGATTTCATGTTGACTAAGGGCATGTTGACTAAGGACTGTGCTCGGGGGAAAAACAAAACTAAAAACCTAAACCGGAGAAATGACACGCTCCGCACCCGTACCCACCCTAACCCCCAAACCAACAATACCCGTCCCCGGGGCCTTTCCTTAGTCAACATGGCCCTTAGTCATCATGAAATCGAGACAACTCCTGCAGTGTGGTCTTTCGAGCGTGTGTTTCGCATGGCTAAGTTTTGCCTTGGCTGGTCCGCAAACTTTGTCAGACAGGTCAAAGCTGGTCAAAATAGCATGCAGACGATTCGCTCGATCGTCCGGCACTAATGGTAATGTGTCGTCCGAGCCACACCTCGTGTCAGCTGCAAGAATGCTGTCGCTCAAAGTGCCCATGAAGTGCTGGATGCATAGATACCATAAGCGGCCGCACAAGCGCTTGGGCGCTGCAGTCGGTCTTTGCTACAGTGTCAAAGATCCTCTGAGGCAACTCCTGCGTATTGGGTCGTCGTAACAAGCCAGAATGCGGCACCTTGGATCCGCAAGCCGTACGTATGCACGCTGGGTTTATAAAAGCACTCTGAAAACCACAAGCTTTACCCCCCGTAAATTCTTTGAACCCTGGACTGAAAACCGGACGTCCGCCTGACGCTGCAGAGAAGCTGGCACGCACAGTCCAAGTATGTGCCCGGCGCCCGGAGGTCAAGAAGAGAGCGGTGGGGCCGCAGAGTCCCGGCGGAGTGCAGCGCGGGCGGCTGCTGGCAAAGGCAAAGAAAGATTACGTGGGCAGGTGCGACGGTTCCTCTTGGGTGTGTTATGAGCTTTCTAGCACGCTCAGACTCTGTGTGTCGGCGCGTCGCTTTGTTTTGGTCCTTTCCTGGCCTCTGGCTTTTTGCGTCCTTTCCCTATCCAAGGATCGTTCTTCTCCGAGCCCCCGGGCCGGATCCAGCGAATGAGCGTTCGAAGCAGATCCGTACCGTTTACGTATATAGAGCGAAATTGAGGAGGAGATCTTGCGCACTGTGCCTTCCGCCCCCGTCTCACATCATTCTTTGCGACACGCTTCGTCAGCAGTGTTATCCATTCCTTGCTCGACTTCGCTTTATCATGCACTATGCGTTTGCTTGGTGTGCATAATTGCTTCAAAATTTCATGGCGTTTTACCACGTGCACTGTAGAGCGAAAAGTTTCCAGAGCAAAGGATATTGAAGGCTCACACTAACAACAAACGTCAAATTCTTTCTAGATGAGGGGATTAATGTGCTAAAATTGTCGGGCTCTTCAGTTTCTCCTGAAACGACGCACCTTTCTTTCGAGGATTCTAGCAATCTGTTCTCAATGGAAAGGGTACTACGAGCTTGTCGTGGTTTTGGCGGCGAGTTGGCAGCTATTGCTGGCACAAAATCTTGATTTGGCGTTCGGAAATAGGGAAAAGAATTGAAAATGGGAAAAGAAAGGGACTCAATAAGCTCATACCCTGCTTGAGGCTCGTATATCTGGAGTCAGCCCATCGACTCTGCACCACTGAGGCGCCGGGTTCAATCGGAATTTTGGATTGGGGGTGCTTCAAAACCTGGTCGTTTGATTCTGGTGCAACTTCAAATAATAACTAGGACGCTGGACAATCCGATCGTCGTTGTAAAACCTCAGTTCTGGGTTTGACTTCCACATACCGAGTCTTTGATCCTGACTGAAGCGGACTGCAACATTCTTTGCAGCTTTGATGCGCAGCGCCGGAAGTCCTTGCTGCAGCGCCAACCGAGCAGCGGCCCGAGCGTTCTCGGCAAACGGCCCTCTCCCTCGCTGACGTCATCGCCGGGCCCCGTCCAGAAACGACCCGCACCGAGCAGTCCCCAAAACCAGGGACTCCTGCGGCGCACGGAGCCGCCAACAAGGCCTCGAGAGCAGGGGCCAAGCAAAACCGTCCTTGGGAAAAGGCCTTCGGAACTGAGCGGTAGCTCTGCGCAGAAACGGCTCGCACTCGGCGAGCCTCAGATCGAGGCTGGGTATTCCAGGGGGGCACCAGGAAAGAGTTTAACCACTGGCGCTGGGGGGGCGGCGGGAAGGCTAGGGGTAGGGGATCCCTCTGGGGCAAATTCTATTAGACATGGCCGGCCGAAGGTTTGGTCGGGAGTGGGCTACCCGGAAGAAACAAAAGGAAGCATAGGAGCACGGGAGGATGTCGCGGAAAGAACTGGAAGAGGAAGGGAGGCGGTGCAGGGAGCTGGAAGATATTCGGACAACTCAGGGTCGGACGATAGAAGGAGAAGTTTGTCCGTCGAGAAAGGGTCACGTGTCGTGAGGGCAAACGGCGCAAGTCAAGAGGAGCAAACGAAGAGAACTGAAGGGGGTCGGTTAAATAGTGACAGGGTCAAGGAATTGGCTGCAGGCGCGGCTGAAAGGCGAGCAGGTATGTCGAGCGTAAGCAAGAGCACGAGTGGTGAGTCAACGAGACTTTCCCGAGAAGACGGAAAAAGGAGAAGAGATCAGCCTGACATAGGTAGTCCAGAGCGTAGGCCGCAGAAGAGAGGTATGGTCAGCCAGTCCGGGTCTGAAAGCCTCCTGAAGAGCCAAGAGCAGGGAAAGGTAAGCATACTGACCGATGACGAGGTGCTTTGGGACGACGCCTAAAGTTGGCGACCTCCATGTGCGCGCGCAGTGCTCACAGCACAATTCGCTTTTCAGGCTGTCCGGCCATTCATGCATCCGATCGCGTACAGTACATCCACATATGTGTGCCTCAATGTCACGCATTGAGCTGTTCATGCGCGGCGGCCATCATTCAATGTAATAAAACAGTGCTTGCCGGAATGACACCTGACATGTCATGATACGGATGCAAAATCTGCATATGTATGCAATTTACCTGGCCGGCCTGCATTTGCAATCGCTCATGCAGCGAAGGCAAGGCTCAGAAGGCTTCTAAGTTCGTCACTGGTATGTACCATCCATGCCATCCCCGGATACCTTGCCGGATGTGTGCCAGCTGAAGCTATTTGCATATTGAGTCTAGATTTAGCTAGCTAGGAGCTGCGCCCCCCGGCCGGATATGCCATTCGATGGGCCATGCTGGACGGATCGCATTAAAAATTTAACAATTGCGGCTACCGTCTTGATAATCCATACATGCTGAGTCAGCTGGCACATGAAGACGTGATCGATCATCATAGCTCATGTCTTGCATGGAAGATGATGCAGTGATGGGCTTCATGACGCTGTGAGTCCACGGTTGTCCATGCATATGAGCTTACCACAAACGAAACAAAGAGCTGCTGTTGCATGAGCATGGCATGCATAGAGTAGCTGCCAAAGGACTGTACTCGGTGTGCAGATTGCTGTATCGACAGAATACAGATTTTCACGAGTATAATAACCCAAGTACCCCCAGGAGAAGCCGCAAAAGTGTATCGATTTTGGCAAAATATGGCACGTGCAAATCTTACATCATCATCGTCCTGCAAACACCTGTTGTAGAGCAAAGCCCCTCAGGTTTCAATACTGCTCGGCAAAATGAAATCGTATGTCCGAACGCGTGTGACAGAACAGAGGCAGCTAAAGAATCTGATCTTGGTCAAAGAAGCCAATGGAAGACACTCAAAACCATGAGTTAATCCCTTCAGTCTTTAAAAAGTAGAACTAGGACGTGAAGGGTCTAACACCAACTGGGGGACAAAGTTCTCGAGCAAGATGCGGCAATTGGATTATTGCCAGTGCAAATACGTTTACTTCGATGTTCAAGTCAATTTTGGGGCAGGAATAACTTTGTCACTACCAGGAAAGAAAACCATGCAGCAAAGTCTTACATCATAGTGAAACTCCTCAAACCCTGAAGGTCCTCATGTGATACAAGCAACAAATCGAACACAGAATGGTTGATCAATGGCAGGAGCAAGCAGGAAAAATGAGAGTGCAGCAATTCTAATCAAAATTGAATTGAGAGACCTAAACGAGACACGATGCCAACCCTGAAGTTTGAATAGGCCAGATGGGATTTGATTATTGGGTAGCAGAAAGCAAGCAGACCTCTTCCTCTCAGAAATCGAAGTGGCCACTTTCTCCTGAGTTCGTAATCAGGTTCCAAAATCTGGTCACTCACCCTAATCAATGTTCCTTACTGCTGAGCGCCAGTCGGCCACCCAATAATCTACAATTTGTCTGCTGTACAGTCTGCCTTCGTTGTCTGAACAATGTGATTTCCTGGCACGATGCGAGCGGGTTTACTCTGATATCGACGCAGGGAAGCTTCTTGTAAAGCAATAGCACCACTCTCGGACGCAGAGACCGAATCATTGCCAATCTGCACCAGTTGACCAAGTTTACCTTTCCTTCTAATAGCCAACCAACCACTGTTCCAGGTGGCAGATTTGCCAACACTCAGGCGCATGTTCACTGCCGTTAGCCAGCACTAATGCCGAACACTATTGAGGGCTTTCAAACGAGCTTCCCGCTGTGACGCCACACCCCTGTCAACCACCTGTCTGTTGCGGAAGCGCACCCAGCAGCGGGCTTTGGCTGCGCGCACTCTTATGCTCACCGTCTCGTCTTTTATGCATATGCTTCGCCCGCTTATGCCCGCCCCCTCAGCTCTTATGCAGCCGCAGGCACTCATTCGTGCACCGCTTGAGGCAGACCTCGTTCCACTCGGGCACGTGGTGCGGGTTCAGGCACACCACCTTCTCGCAGGCCTCCTCGCACGCGTCCCGCGATGACACCCCGCACACCGTCACGCACGTCCCTGCGATCGGGTCCTTCGCAAAGCTCCCCACAGCCGACAGCAACTTTTTTGTTGTGCAAACCCGCTCGCAAACCCATGTGTCCGCCTCTGTCCCGTCCTTCTTCCCGTCGTCCCGCCGCGAGAGCCACTTGTCGGACGCGTCCTCGGCGGCGCGCGCGGGGCGGGCGTGCGCGAGGGCGCCCAATCCGTGGACCACCGCCAGGGCTGCCCACCAGCCCATGCCGCACTGGGGTCGTGGGCTCCTGCTTGCGGAGAGTCTACTCAGAGACTATGTACACCTCTCATACAAGCAAGCAGGCAAAGTAGAAGACAGATTCCAGGCGCAATTCTGAGAAGTTCAGAATCCACCCTGGCCCTGGGCTTGAACTCGCTCCTGAGTCCTGGACTCGGAGGGCTTGCTTGTCGCATGGAGAGGGAAATTGGAATTCGCCGCGCAATGCAAGCTGGTTGCTCCCGCATTTTTCGCCGATATAGTCAATGTATGAAATTACACGTGGCTGGATTGAGCAGCATCAGTTCTGGATTAACCAACCATTACCGAAGCGTGTAATCGACAACCAAATCGCGGACATCCCACAAATTGCTGCTTCCAAGACTCCTCTGTCCACATACGGTGTTCGCCTCGGTGCATGAAATAAATATGTACCTAGACGTGCTAGGTTGTTCTAGTAATTCCCCAGCGGCGGTGAGCCCAGGCCGGCAATACCGTAGATTCCTTTCAATAGGTAGAGCAGATTGACATTCTCAATGTCTACCACAATTATGTCATGCAATCATGTCCCGAATGTCTAAGTCAGGTTATTTTGACCAACCATGATCGACGAGCTTCAGCTAGTGCCGCACATCATTTGGGCATCGCAGGTGTGACGGAGCCTTGTTTTAGTGAGCACACGCTTCGCTTCTTCTTTCAAAAACGTTTCACATAACAGCCATGAGTCATTCATATGTCTTTAAGAAAGCGGATCGACAACAATTGCACGCAGACAATATTGTGTCGCGCTGGAGCTAGAGCAAGTTGCATGCCGTTGGCAGCTCTGCACTCATGCACACATTGTGCATGCCCTACGTTTCAACTGCACCAGCTTTAGGCTATATACTTACCGGTTGCAAAAGATGCGGCTCGAAGCCCCTGTGTCCATGGTGACTGATGAACTGGAACCCCCAACGCTCTGTGGCTTGAACATACGCACAAATCGACAAACATCCCGCATGGCTTCACTTCAAATGATCAAGGTTCGAAACAGCCCCGAAAGACGGATCATCCAGCATACAATGTTGTCTAGATCGTGACACATTGCATGGCCAGAGTTCAAAGCAAACGCACGGCATAAGCTACAGATCATTACGGTCTGTTCGTTTGTACAGTCTAATTCAGAAGCTAGTCATGTCTTCTCTCCGATTTGCAGCCCATGCTCCAAGGCGTATGCTTTTATCATGGGTTTCAAAACCTGCTCGAAGCGAGATGACAAGTGTGAGACTGTAAGCAACATAAAGTTCTGACTGTTTCACACCAAGCGAGGGAGGAAGTAGACCTGAACAAGAGGGAATCGAGCCGCTCGTTCCACAACCAAGTAGGCATAATGCAAACCATCAATTACCGACCAGCGGCGCTTCTTCTCTTTGTAACATCCCTGATCTCAATCAACAATGCTGCAAGGTTGGGACAACCACGACATTTACTCTCCCCAAATGGGAATTGAAGCGAAAGAGACTCACCGCTAGGTCTTTGTGTAGCGTCAAAAACGCGCTGCGCATTCTTTTGTGTACCTGCGCAAGCAACAGTAGAGAGCTCTTAGATCACCTTTCTTGTCATAAGGTCTGAAGTACAGGAGAGGAGGCGCCAACTGCTCATGACCTCTGGTTGCAGAAGGACAACTGCGTATTGCTCGAGTGAAAAATTCAGCCGTCCCCCTCAGACGCATGATTTACGATGATGTCCGCACTTTTGAAGGTTGTCATGGTAAGTTGCAGTTTGTACGGTTACCCTGCCGGCGAAGGGCTAACCACCCCAAAACAAAAGAAAAAAGAAAAGAAAAAGCGTCTGTACGGTGTGTTTTCCGCCCAAGCGAGGCAGCCAGCTATGCCCACATGCACTGCTTCTTTTCCGATCTGTAATGCGTCGGTTGTAAAGATGGAATGCCTCGATTTGACAGTCCCTCATCGGCCAAGCGAAGATCCACAGAGCACCATACAAGAAGTCGGTCATATAGCTTGCAAGCCAACCCAAGGGAATTGCTGAGCTTCTTTTAAAGCAGACCCCGTCCGATTCCGCCACCTCTTCCCAACCAACTACGACCTTGTATGGCCCCAGGACCAATGTTCAGACGGATGACAAGGCAGGCAAAAACCGCCCACATTGCAAAAAGGCCCTACGCAACCCATAGAAAGGAGCAATCCAGAAGCCGACCCCAAACCGCTTTTACCATCCTACTGTATCAAGATCTGCGGGGAAACCTCGACCATTGGCGTCTCTTGCTCAAGCAAGGTCGAAAGCAATCGCTTGTCGGGCCGCCATCAGTACTTAGCCCACCTTTTGAACTTTGTTGTGCTTCACCCACGATCTGCTCCCACCATCCTACTGTGTCAATCTAGACGAATAGACGACGTTTATCGTCACGCTACTGAGCGTATGATTCAACGGGGATTTATGAGCCGCGATGAAAGGGATGCCCACCTTTTTCACTTTGTTGTACTCCACTCGCAGCAGAAGCTCCAGCTCGCGCAGCTGCTGCTCGTTGTGCGTCTTCCACGCCGCCGCCATCTTGTCGTCGTACGCCAAAAATTGCATCCTGCCAAGGCAGTTACACCATTTGTTTTAGGAGATATCTAGTGCCTCGAGATCTAGATTCTTGACCTTCTTGCCATCAGATAGTCGTTAAATCAGAAACGATAACATATGTCGAGGATTGCACATAGCCAAGCACTGCCGCAATTACAAACCTCCAGCTTTTTGCGAGGCTTGGGTGGAGAGAGACGGCTCACCGTTGCTCCTCAAGGGCTTGGATCAGGTACTCATAGACTGGCCACTTGGTCGAGAATTCGTCGTATGCAACGTAGTACCTGATCAAGTGATTGCTTGTTATTGGTCAACGGAGTACTTATCCAGCGGGTTCAACCAAAACGATTCGTATTCTGTTCTTATCTTCGTCGCAGTGGCATGTACTACCGAATCGATTGAGCGGTTGCTGAGGGGTCAACAGCAGTGGTTGCTTGATAGGCATTGGCAAGATCGGTTCGTTCTAAGTTTCAGGTTCAGGGACCCCCTGAGTGGGCGATTGAGAGGGGCCTTAGGATGCTTGCAAGGCACAAGTAACATGGAGCATATTCCAAACACAGACATTGCCATGGAGGTGGGAAGTTGTGCAGGCTGGCAGCAAAAGTATGCGAATGTCTGGGCTGTTGAAAAGGACGAAGATGTTTCCAAAGGCAGCCTGAGCAAAAGATAAAAGGATATCCCCCAAACAAGGCCCAAGATCAGTGTCGATGTGGGATCACTATTAATATTCAACCCAGAATCGATCTGACTATCGTCCTACAGATTCTGCACATTCCTCTGCCCGACTTCAGGCTATTACAGAGAAGCCCACACGCACCACAACCAATCAACGGACCGCCTTTCGTCCCGTGCAATCCAATAACATGCATCGTCTGCTCAAATCAAATGGACCTTGTCCGTGGCAAGTCTGGCCCAGAAGCGATACAACTCCTGATAAACGGAAATTCCTAGATGTACTCACTCTTCTCGGGAGTCAATTGACCGGTCCTCGGTTATCGGCTGCGCGTCCGCGTACTTAACCCAATCCTCCTCGATTATCCCGCTGAACCCGTTAACCCGCTTCTTCTCCTCGGGCCGCTTCATCCCGTTCTGCACCCCCGCTTTCCCGTTTACAACCTTGCCGTTCGCAGCGGCAGATTGCGACTTCTTCGGGGGCGCGCTCGGGCTTTTCTTCCGCACCCCGTTTTGTGCGGGTTTCGCTCCAGGCGCCTTGTTCGTGACGCCGTTTGCAGCCCCCCCCCGACCGTCCCCCGCCTTCTTAGGCCCCTTTACTGCCGTCCCCTCTGCCGGTTTACCAGGCGTTTTCTGCAGCGGTTTCTTGACCAGCGCGGGTTTTGACCCTTGGTTAAGCCCCGACTTAACCCCTTCCTTCGCACCGTCTGGCTTCGGCTTGGCCCCTCCGTCAGCCTTGGGTTTCCCTCCACTTTCTGGGGTCCGCTTGACCACCTTTGCAGAACCTGGCTTTGACACTGGTTCTGAAGCGGCCTCTTTTCCAACAGCTCTTCCCCCTCTCTCAACACCACCGTTTTGTGACAGCTTGGCTTTCTTTGGCGCAGGCGCCAACTCCCCTTCTTCTAGGGGGCTGTTGCCAAAGTCGTCCTTCCTCGCACTCAACCCCTTTTTACCATCCTTTGCTCCCCCACCAGGTTCCTTTGCCCCTGCACCCCCATCTTTCCTCGGCTTTTTCGTGCCCTCCGTTGCTTCCTCCCCATGCCTCCTCTTCTCCCCGCTTTTTGGCGACCCCGCTCGAGGGCCGCTTTCGCGCCCATCGTCCAGCTTTTCAATCTGCACCCTCGCAAGCGGTTCCGAGCCCTTGCCCTTCTCCATTCCCTTACTGCCGGGCACTCCCCCTGGTTTGCTCCCAGGCTGACCCTTGACCACCCCCTTGACCACCTTCGGAACACTCCGAGATGGCCCGCTGGGCGGCCGCTTGACTCCTTCCTTAACCCCCTCCTTAACCCCTTTTTGCCGATCCAGCGCTGTCTGGTCCGTCAACTCGATCGGGATCGCCTTACGGCTGGCCTTCCGCTCGGCAATGACGTCCTGCGCTGCTTTGTATTTCAACAGCGCACTGCTGTTCCGAACGTCATCCGAGAGGCTCGGCCCCGCAGCCGCATGCGACGCCTTGCGCTCGTTCACACCCCCCTCGTGCGCATTCTCACCCCCCTCGCGCCCATTCACACTCCCGTCCTTACTCCGGCCCGCCTCCATCGACGCCTTGGACTTCTTCTTCTCGCCCCCATCGTTTGATGCATTCGAGCCCACTTTCAACCCGCTCTTCTCCGAAGTCCTCTTCTCGCCGTCTCCCACTGCTTTCTTGCTTAGGCCCCCTCCCGGTTTCTGGTTCTCCTTCTTGGAAGCACCGCTTTCTTTCGAGACAGCTCTGGGCTTCTCGTCACCTCTGCTCTCGGACACCAACCCCTCCTTTTCCGTCATCCGCTTCTTCGCAACCCCTTCCGGTGCATCGCTTTCCTTTCTCTTCCGGCCGGAATCACCCCCGACTTTCTGCGCCTCCGCTTTAGGCGCCCTTCCGGACTGTGCGGCTCCGTCATCTATCCGGTCGTCATCGTCAATCTTTTCCACCTCAACCGCAGGCTTGAACACAGCATCATTTCGCACCCTTGGTATGCTCTCTGCCCCCTTGCTGCCATTGTGCGCTTTCTTCTCCATCCCCGTCTCCCCTTCTTTACGATCCACTTTCGTCTTAGGCCCACCTGTCACCGCAGCCTTTGCTCCATTCTCACCCCCTCGATCGCTTCGCTCCTTTCCCCCCGTATCTGGCCGTTGCCCCGCCTCAAGTTCCACCTTACCTTTTGCTCCAGTCTCTTTCGTCGACGCTTCTTCCCCCCGTTTCGCCTCGGAGCTCTGCACCTCCCCCTTTTCAGCCCCCTCCTCTTCGGCTTCGTCCTCGCTGCTCGACGAACCGCTGCTTCCGCTGCTACTGTCGCTCTCACTCTCGCTGCCACTGTCGCTCCCACTCGACGACGACTCTTTCCCCGCATCATTCCCCTCTTTCGACTCCCTCCCGTTCTCCCCCGCTTTCGTCTCGCTCTCGTTCTCCCCCTCTTTCGTCTGCTTTCCTTGCCCCGGCCTCGATGGCCCCTTGTTTTCCTTGACACTCGCATCCAGAACCTCCTTCTCTACGTCACCCCCCCCGCTAGCACCCACTACATCACCCCCCCCTTCTCTCAGATCGCGTGCCTCCCGCGAGTCCCCCGCTTTTGCGCCTTCGTCATTTGCCGCCCCCTCTTTCGAGGAACTCTCCATCCTGGCCTCAACTTTGACTGGTCCCGAAGCCTCGGTTTCGGACTGGGGGGCCGCCGGAAGCGGGGGGGACTCTATATTGAGGGCAGGGGAGTCGGAGGCGACCGTTTCTGGGCTTGTCGAGTTCATGATGCGGCCCTCGCTGAAGGCCTTCTGTGCATCGGGGCTGAGGACCCACAACGCGGGGGACTTGAACGTGGCGACCTGAAGAAAAGAGGAGCGGGAGCAGTGTGAAGTCCACGGGTCTCCTGAAGGATATCGAGGAGTAGAGAAGCCGAAAGGGATTTCATCACTCCCCGAAAATCCGTTGCAAGACTCACCAGGAGTCCGCAACTGAGCACAAGTCCTGAAACCCCTATGGCCTCTTAAAGGATTTGGAAGAGAACCGGTCCAACTTCTTAAACTACAAGGCGGACCGCCCCTAAGGGGCGCCGGGGCTTGCCTCTTATGCCAGTAACAGGCAGGAATTTTGATGATGTTTATAGCGATGTGCTCGAGGAAAAATAAGTTCAAACGGTATATTTCCAGACCTCAACGATATCGTATACTAAACCAGTGCCTATACGAGGTACGTTACCAATGGTCAATCAATCAATCAATTCTGAGGTAACGTAGCCCTATAAATTCCGGGCTCTTCGACGAGAAACATCAAATATGCTCCGCTCTGCGGGGCAGTCCAAAAGCGGCGCTGTGGCTGGTATGGCCTAATTTCCAGAATCACTGTACGTTTTATTGTCGAACACGGGGCAAATCGTGACAAACTCCTCAGACTGGCCACCCTAGCAGCTGATCGCCACGTCGTACAGCCCGGATTTTACAGTAAAACTACAACTTGCCGTCTTATTACGTAAAAAAGAGGCAAGCCAATATCCGTCGCGACAAAAGCGTGCTGGTAGCTCACCGATCGCAGCAACCGATCGAACTGTTGCCTCGTGAAAGCTGCATCGTCCGGCAGCGCGTCCTGAACAGCTTTCTCAAGCGACTGCACGACAAGCATACAGATATGAACGACTCGAGAAGCAATCGGAAGCTTCGCAGCTCACGTTTCCAACTGTGGAAGACTTCCAAGGACTCTCCGAACCACTTTGGGGCAACGCATCTTTATTTGATAAGTCGGCTGAATCTGAAACAATTCTGGGCGATCTAGTTCACACTTCCACTGAGCTCAGCAGGACCAAGCAGAAGACCGGCGTCGACATTGAGCAATACCGTAAACGGAGAAAACGGACAGAACATTGACAACCCGGACAGCCCGTCGCTTTTCCGTCGATAGCCAGGCAATAGCCGCTTTGAATCTCAGGCCACAGATGTCGACATTCATCCACGGACGGCCAATGCAAGCATTTGTAGAAAAATGCAACATTCGACGCAAAGTTAACCAGTATTTTCACGAATCGACTTTACACCTGCTCCTAACCAGCCCTCACCTTGGGTTTCATCGTATGCTCCGGTGCCCCTGCCAAAACCCCCACTATCGCCGCTTTCACTTCCTGGTTCGTCGCCCCCCTCTTAGGCGTGCTCTTAGCAGGGGGTGCTGTCGGCCCCTTTCCCTGACCCCCCTCTTCCGGAGGAACGCTCCCCCGACTGACCTGCTGTTCCGAAGGCCCTGTGCTGACTACGGGCGACAGGCCAGTGACTGGGGCTTCAGTCGGGGGAGAGCTGACGGCGAGCCGACTGGGGCCCAGGGGAGCGGGGGTGGTTGTGGGGCCCGTGACAGGGGATTGCGAGCGAGAACGGGCTTGCTGCTGCTGTCTGGAGGGGGTGGTGACTGAAAAACACAACAAACTTGGATTACTTACAGGTTGGGAGTTTGACATACCCAGGAGATCAGATTCAGGCTTCTCGAAGAACACATTTTGAGAGAGTGGAACCGCATTTGTGGACACAATAAGGAAGGTCCGTTCTACACAGGCAGGAATGGTGACTGCTTTGCCTTGGAGAGGCCAAGCGCGATGCTTTCTGAATGATGGCCGGGAGCGGATCATACCTGTGTCGAAACTCTTCACATTTCGTGAAAGTGAGCTCGGCTTCTCCGTCATTGGCTTCCGCACGGTGGTCAGGGCTGCAACCGAAAAAGCTGTTGGTCACACTTCGCCCCCGCGTTAACGAGCATCACAAACCGCTGGCAGGTCTCTAAATGCAGTAAAAGACTCGGCTTAATGGGTCAGCAACATGGGGCGCAGCGAGCTTTTCAGTGAAGCCATTTGCAAAATCATACGAGACTTGAAAAGGGCACATGTTCAAAGCCAGGACGTCTCACTTTTTTTCACCGTCGACACTGCTTGTTTTGCATCCAAGGTACTGTTGTGTTCCAAGACGATGGCCCTGCAAATGGCAGTGAAGGATCCACATGAACAACTGTAAGATGCTTCATTGACAAGTGATAACAGCTTCCAGGCAGATGACAAGATCCAACTCTAAGTGAAACCACGGAGTGACAAGGACGAGCCATGAAAGACAACAATTTGTAAGGAAGTATCCAACCATAGGACAGGAAGGCAACATATGTTGCGAATGACTTTGCGACTTCTATCTTTGACGAAAGGCCGCAACAAGCCCGCTCTTTCACACAACCAACCCCGAAACAGAGCACTCACAGCCAGACGTGCGGAATCCACTTGAATTCATCTCAATGGCCTGCAAGCTTCCGGATCTTCCATCCCCTCATATCTGCCAAAAAACAGCCACAGATTTTCGAGAAGGAAATGTATCAGAGCCCTCACTTGCGAGACTTCATTTGCTTCTCGGCCGCAGCCGAGCGCTGCTTCAGTTTGTTAGCCTCCGCCGCTGTCAGGCTCCGCTGAAGGTTCAGCTTCTTGACTATCGGCCCAACCTCCACCAGGCGGCCCGCACCTTGTTCTGCGTCTCTCCGCTCGACATACGCCTCGTACACCTTGCGCTCCTCGTCATTGGATGTGAACGAGTACTCGCGCTCCCCGATCTTGAGAATCTGTTCGCAAAGTATTATTTTGTCAGATGATGTTTCTCATCCCCAATGCTCTGATGGATTTGAATAAAAGCTGGGTTGGTACTGACTTGTTTTCGGAGACAATGAGCACCTCAATGGCGTTGATTGACACCGGTGCTGAAGCCCTATGCCTGGATGGCGTGATCTAGAGGCGAATCTGGCAGGAGCCCAAGGGGATCAAGGGTATGCTTTTGAATTTGTGGTGCAAACGAAAAAAGGGATTTACAAGCAGTTGACAATGCACGCATCTAAGATACAATGTGACAAGAGAGACATGCAGATGCAGATGCTTCCAACTTCCCAAAACACCCACTCCACATTTTATCTATTTTAGAACAGCCTTGTGACTCGGTTTGTGTTCTTCTCCACTTTCGTTTGATCTTCAGTTCTTAGAACCGAATGTGGATTCTGCTGATTTAGTTGCCCAATACATGCTTATATCCCTTGCGACGTGCGAAACCACTCGACACAGCAGGACATGCAGAGCCCTGACATGCAGAGCCCTGTAATGCTTAACCAAACAAGCTGGTCGAAGGGGCCACTGACTTCTCTGATATGCATTCCTGGGGCCTAACAACATTGATTATGACTAAGAAAAGAAGGACTTGTGTTGCATTATTCTGAAGAAGTTATAGTGAAGCAAGGGGAGCTGCAAATCCCTGGACAGCTTGAGCACGAAGGACTAGGGTTTTGGCAAACAAGACTGGGCCTGAGCTCTAGAACACCGAAGCCTGGAGTTGCAGCCTGCTTGTCAAGCTGTGCAAACCCACGCAATGGCAACTTCAGCTCAACATCTATGTCGGGATTTTCATCAGAAGCACGTAACAGAACCCCTGAAATCAAAAGACTGTCGACTTGATGAGCAGGGCCTCCCACTGGATGTGAAAGCTGTCAACAAACCCTTTTCGATCCAAAAGCCTCATTCGCAAAAGTCGGAAGGATCAAGACGCTGTCAAACCCGCCTCCAATCAAAAGGCAAAACCATGACATACTCTCAAGGGGCAATGCCGTCTCGTTATGAACTTACGTGATTCTGAGAATTCGCGCCAAACTTCATCTGCACGGACAGGCCCTCCTTCTGAGCAGTCAAGAGAGCGGATTTGACCTCCTCAGAGAGCCGCATCGTCATCCCCAGAACCTTTGGGGGACTCAACCCCCCCGGCTCCAGACTGAAGCTCTCATCTGGCAATGGGGTGCCTTCTTTGGCCTTGTTCCCCACAGCAAAAGCGCCGCCTGCTCTCGCAGGAGCTCTTGCAGACCCCGTCTGCCTTGGAAGGGGCACCATGCTATGTGCGGGCCCCCTTGCCATACTCCGCCGCAGATCAGACATGGCTTATTCAACCAATGCAGATGCAAAAGTAACAGCAGGTGGCTGCGGGGCCATTGTGAGGCGCCCCATAACCATCAGGTCAGTGACCCTGAACAAAGGCGACACACCCCAGTGGCGAGCTAGGCTGGCGAATGCCACATGTGCTGTTGCCACTGTTGCACCGGCAGACACGGGACTGAGAAGCGGCGCGTGCGGCCGTGGCCGCCCGAGCGGGCCGAGCCTAAGCTAGTCGCGCGCGTAGTCCGCGGACCCCGCTCTCCACACTTTCTGCTGTGACGTCAGGAGAATAGTGGCCTGGCTTCTCCGGAGTCCGGTCAACGTAGTGACGTAAGCAGTACGGTCGATTTTCCGATCCCTGCAGCGCAGAGTCAACAGGAGCAGCTGCGTGGCAGCTCTAGCTGAGCTAGTACTACTAGTAGGGGCCGGTCAGCTGAACAGCGCCGGCGGCATTCCGACCAGGCTGAGGCCCAGGGGCACCATTGAAATGCCATCTGATCAGCTCACCATCTCCAGGGGCTCTCCAGCTCGACGTACGACAGGGAGTAATAGGACGAGGAAGCTACTGGCCGGCGCTTGTAGTAATGGGCCATGATAGCTGAAGAAAAGCTACCGCCCCGGCATTCGTCTTGAAAAGTAGAGAGGCTTTCCTTATACCTATCTCATGCTAGCGATAAGTGCTCGCGTGCGCCAGCTAACTGCTAAAGGAAAATCCATTTGATAGAGGCCAATGCTGTGAAAGCCATCAAGTGGTTGTGCTACGTGCAACTTTGTGAAGAGTGACCGTGCGGGTATGTGGAGAGTAACCGTGCGGGTATGTACGCATTGGATAATGTAAGGAGGATGCCTCTAGGTAAGCAGTGTCTCAGTTCTCAAGCTCGACGCGTTTGTGAATCAGACTGTCTGAATATTTGTCCATGTTTATGGGGTTTTGAATATTTGTCCATGTTTATGGGGTTTGCTATTTCTTGCATACGGAGGCGGCACCAGATAGCGCTGTAGACTCATAGCCCGAGTTTGAAATGAACAACCACCAGGAGCTGATCATGGGGATGATACTAGCAGGCAATGGAAATCCAGGTTGTGAGGATGACAAAACAATGGCCACATGTTGAAAGCTGTGGATGTGCAACCACGTCATTGCGGAATATTGGTTTTTGCCGGTCAAAGAGCTTGAGTAGGCTGGTCTCATGACAGCTCATCGGAAGCTTCCACGAATAGTCCTAGCTGAGTGTGAATGAAAGGGTCTGTCGCATAGAACGTGGGAAAGTGAGGGCATAGCGTCGTCACGCCAGAGCTTTGTCAAAACATAAGTTGGGTTAAAAGCAACAGAGGGGGGTAATTTGATTGATTTCTTTGTTGTCCAATCAAAACCCCCTCACAAGAATGGGCGTGTTAGCAGACTCTGGGGCCTCCTAAAGCGCCCCTTTGTGCTATCGGCCCTGCGGTCTGACTTGTGATTGATCGAAGGGGCAATGCTAGGGATGTCAGAACTTTCACAATGCAAATACATTGTGGCCTCCTTGCAGGAGCTAGAGAACAGTGTCCGCTTCTGCCTGCAGGTAGTCAGACCTTTAGAGTTTGATGACTTGATATAGGCGTTCAAGCAGGTTCAATGGCGGTTCTGATTTCACTATCCATGGTCGTCCTGCTGGCGCTGTCGGGAAGCGCTACGGCTGCCACAGGTTCAGACGATGGTGAGTTGACAGCTCCTGCCACGTGTTGCTGCCGCTGTTGCCTGTAATTCGCAAGTTTCAGCCCAGAACAGCTCAAATATTGACCAATCACTTTACAATAAGAAGCTTTCAGCAGTGTGGAAACCATCTGGATTGAGAGTCTGCTCATTAGCAGCCATCCAGGCAATACCACCAGGGCCTCAGTGTTCATATTGATTCCGGTCTCCGCATGTTTGCTAGTCACATCGCACCACACCTTAATCCGTTCATATCTGCTGGCTGCGATCAGCTTTGGTCCGTCCCTTGTGAGACACTTTACAGCCAAGCTTGTTGTGCGTAGCGGATGAGAGACTTCCAATGATTCCCTACTGACCACCGTTCAGATCCTGTCCAGACCGAGTGCAATACAGACTGCAATAACTGCTCAGAAAGCAACCGCCAGCCTCGTTGAGAACAATCACTTCTCCTGAATGATAAGCGGCATACGAGTGCGCATGCCCCACTTATTGCGGCACTCGTTCCCCTCCAGTTGTGGCACTGCTTGGCATCAAAGCCAGCCTGGACCAAAACCCTCTGCTCGCAAATTGGGTCATTACTGGAGATCCCTGCGCTCAGCCTTGGTATGGCGTCGTCAATTGCACCAGCGGAAGCCCGCAGCGGGTGACCAACCTTCAACTCCAAAACTCGGGCTTGAGTGGAACCATCAGCCCTTTCCTTGGGAACTTGACGGCGCTGACCTCACTGTGAGTTACCACCACCGTCAATTGGAAAGTCTTTCAAGTATTTTCAAACCTCTTGCTACCAAACCTGGCTGGAAGTATCCCCGCCGCCAGTTTGCAAGTGCCCCATACATGATATCCTAAACTTGGCTGTAATAGCAACACCAACGGTGACCACAAAGACTCCCAGGGGCCTGTTTAAGATCCTTGCGAAAGGTGGTTATACGGTTGGTGTCCTTTACTTCTAGCTGGTTTCAGTCGCTCTGCTCCAAGGTGGTGTGATACTTGAACAAAGTTTGGTGGTGCTCATTGCTTGTATGTCAAATCGAAGTCGTGCTCCGCAGGCTAAAGCGTGGAGCTAATATGTATCGGGTTTGCTGTGCGTTCTTACCGGTGTAGTCTCTGTGATGGGTTTGCGGTCCACTTTTCCAGCTGCTGAACGGTACGACCGATTAAGAAGCCTGTGATGCGCTGGTCAAATCTCTGGATTAGCGTGGATAGCTGTTAACCCGTTGCGGTTGTGTTTGAAATCGCCGAGAAGCGTCGTCTCTGTGCAGGGACATGAGCTCCAACCGCTTGACAGGCCCCATCCCCGCTACTATCGCAAACCTGGTCAACATCTCCCGCATCAATCTCCACAGCAACAAGCTCACAGGGACGCTCCAACTGTTCAGCAAGCTGCGAACTTTAACCTACTTGAACGTGGGCGATAATCTGCTCACAGGTGAGCGCTCTCTGGTCTTGGGCGGGCAGTAATGACGAACGTGAGAACTACATTCAGGTAGCGTGCGCCAGAAAAACGACTTGCCGGTTTCGATGGGGGCACAGAACAACTTCAATCAGGATAGAACGAAGCTCTGGCGTTTTCCCCGTGATAAGCGAAGCGGTCATGGAGAGCCCGACATTCTGCAGTTCGCTGCCAAGCTGGAATAGTCTGCAAGAAGGGACGCCGGTACATGAGCATTTCAATGGGGAACGTAGAGTGTGTAAAGGTTGCCAGAGTAGGCCCACGGCATCATTGTAATTGAGCGTTCAACCGATATCGAAACGATCCAGCCCCACTTATTGCTATCTCAAGAGCTCTGCACCTGGGTCCTTGCGCCGCTAAACGGACAGGCCCCGTTTCGTCTTCTGCTAATGGCACCTCCCGTGCACAGGATGCGAGAGAAGCAACGCAAGTCCGCTTGAGTGGACCACTGCTTCCGGAGTCCTACCATCATCCATACGTTGCTTTCTGTCCCCTTCCTGATGCAGGTGGCGTGCCGCCAGAGTTCAACAACTTGACCCTCATGACGTACCTCAGTATCGGGATGAACCCCATCGGAGGACCAATTCCAGACCTAAGCAAGCTGACAAAGGTCATTCACATGTGAGTAACCCACCCGATGTCCTTCAAGAAGCGCTGCTTTCCGATCTATGTTAATCTGTTTATGCTGTATCTTTGTCAAAGCTTTAGCAGAAATCATACTGGATCATCTTGGCTTTGGTGACAAGCATTCTCACTTCTCACTTCTTCCTTGAGCGCGGAAAGCGAACGAGTCTGAGCGGGTGGGTGCCGTTCGAGGTTCGCTTTCCGGATGACACCACCAGGTCTCCTTCGGCGACATTGCACTTCGCCAGCCCAGATTTGCTTGCATCAAGTTTCTGGCGGTTGAGGACCCTTTTTTAGGAAACGCGTCCTGGTGTCCTGCGCCTGCGGCTTTGCACAAACACATGCCGATGAGCAAATGCACACTTCTAAGCATCACTGAGGTCTGTTTCTGATCTTTGCTAATGACCTGCACGGAACGTGGTCCCCATGATAGCACACGTCAAATCTTAGACCGCTGTCCTGCGAGCGTGGTCTGCTATTCTCTTCATCTGGTCACGTCTCTAGACGCTTTGCCTCCTGTCCCGTTCAGCCATTTCGACAACATGAACCTGACCGGCCCCCTGCCTGCCACGCTCTCTGCACTGACCAGCATGATCCACCTTGTCGTGCAAAACAACCAACTTTCAGGTACGTGACCCAGCTTTGAGCGCTTGCGCGACATCGCTTCCTCAGAAGAAGGCTGCTCCATACTAAGTTGAATCCTGAATTCTGGCCGACGCGATCTGGCACTTATCCCTCGAGCACCTGTACTCTTCGTGTCCTCGAGGTTTTGTTCCTTTGCGATCCCAATGTGCCTGGGCCGAGTCCCATGCTTCTCATTTGCCTTCGCCCTTTCGCTGCTTCTTTAAAGGATTTGTTGTCCAGTTCGGAAGCTGAGTCTGGCCTCGCACATGCGGCCGTGCTTTCATGCGACTCTGCTGCATCCATGTTCGATCTCTAGCAGGCTTTGTCCCTGCCTTAAGCTCAAATCCGACGGCTCATTTTGGTCGCGGTCTCAAGACTTTGTTCCTCTCACAGGCACTCTGCCGCCGTCCCTTTCAGCCCTCACTTCAGTCAGCCTCATCCAGCTGGACAACAACTTCTTCACGGGCACGCTGCCAGCCTCCTACAGCAACCTGACGTCGCTCATTGACTTGTGAGTCTGGCTTGGCCGTCAGCAATACTTTGAGGGAACAAGAAGGGGGTGCAAATACGGCACAGTGCTGTTGCATGCTTGATCTCGTCTCCGATTCTCGACAAGCAGATGTAATTTTTAGACTGGAACCGCAAGGGCTTGACTTTGTCATAAGAAGCCGTTCAGACCTTCTGTCGTGCATCCATTTCGTCCAGTGGAGACACCCTTAGAAGGTATCCGATCAATTGTTTCAAGACCTGAGTGTACCCGCTCCACCTGGGGCCGCTTTTTTGTGTCTGGTGCTTGATCTATGTCACGTTGCCTGGTGCAGTCGGGCGGTGAACAACCAGCTTTCAGGCCCGATCGATCCGTCCTGGCTTCAGCTGAAAAACCTGCGGAAGCTGTGAGTCCGCTTTCGGATGCCCGAGTCACTTTCTCATGGCCTTCTTCTTTTCCCAGTGACCGTTCTTGTTCCAGCTTGCGCAAATTTTTGGAAAAGCGCCACGGCCAATGGGCAGGGCAGGACCGCCGGGTTCAGAGGCCAAGTGAGACTGACGGTTTGATTGGAGCAAACGGAGTAATGTACAGGCATATACGACTGTTGCTTTGTTCCGGTGAAGAGCGAGACTCAGCAGCAAGGGCGCTGTTCTCAGATTTAGGACAACTTAACTCCTGCTGAAGACAAAGCCGAAGGAAAGTTTTGCTTTGGAGGACGAACGAGTGGTTTCCAGGTTGTCGGATATTCTGCTCAGCAGGTTTTGCTGCTTCTCTGACTCGCCTTTCGACTTGCATTAGGAGGGTGCAGAAGGAAACTTTGATTCTAGCTCTATGCCCCTCGCATCTTTGATACTTACCTTCGTCCATCACATGCGGTCTTGCGGCAAAGGCGCCAGCCGTTTCCGCCTACGTCCTGGAACGCGGAGGACGAGCCGAAGCAGAGTTGTTGTGAAGCCGAGGGAGCCTCTCCTGTTCATGGGGAAGTGCCCTCACCAAAATAATGTCGTTTTGCCATTGATACAGGGACCTGAGCTACAACGACTTTTCGGGCGTGGTTCCGTCAGGCATCGGAGACATGCCGAGTCTCATCGATCTGTGAGTCTCCTTTCCCCAAATCCTTTGGAACTGCGTGGAGCGGCCACGTGTCACTCCGGCTGGTGACGATGCGGCCACGATTGACGCTTTCAACCTCGCCACGTTTTGTCTTGGAGGTTTTTGGCAAAGCCACTCTAATCTCGACAGAACCGCTGCTTTGTTTCGCCCCTGTTTACCGGTATCCTGCGTGGCAAGTTCGAAACGCTTCATCGCCCCCTCCATCAAGGCACGATGGAAAGGAGAACTCCGCTGGCCGTTCGGTCTGATTTATGAAAACCGGTCGCAAACGATGTTTGATCCTTGCCTAAATTGGACGCCCGTATCACGTGCAGGAATTTGGAGCACAACTCTTTCAGCGGCGCCGTTCCGGCGTCTGTGTGTTACAGCCCCCGGATGACCACCCTGTGAGTGCAAGACCGGGAGTCGCTCTTGCTCACTCATCTTGTTAATACGCAGCTCTGTCGATTGCTCGCCATGTTTCATCCCTTCATCGCAATGTTCGGGCTGAAGCAGATTTTGAAAGCTGACAGAGGAGTGAAGTGGAGTAGTGGAATGTAGAGAGAAGTTGCTCGCCCTCGCCTGATGCGCCAAGTCTGTAAGATCCTTCTGGGGGTCCCTCTCTAGACACCAACAGAGAGCATAGCAGAGTTGCGTTTGCATTTAGGCGCTCACTTAGGTTACATTTCCGTCAGCCAACCCTGCCTCTCTGCTTCCTGCTAATCTGGCTCCAGGCGCTTGAACGCCAACCTCTTTAGCGGCGCACTGCCGGCATCCTGTTACAACATGACGAGCCCTCCCTTCCAGACAGCGTGAGTGGCTATTGTGTCCTATCCACTATTTTGCTTGCGCAATGAGATGCTTGCAAGTCGCCCTTCGTCACTGTTTCCCAGTTTGCCGTCTCCTTCGTACTGAGAGGCGCCCAAATACCCATTTTTCTTTCACCCTTCTTCCGTCTTGGAAACCCCTAGAATGTCGCTCCACGTGACCCAGTTGCTGTGAAGCAACTTTTAAGCCGTGCACATTCGTCTTTCGTTTCGTCTCTCGTAGATCAACCACGCAAGCTTAGGATCCATGACTGGTAAAATTCAGAAGCATGGAGAAAAAGGCATGTTTTATTTGCAGCTGGTTCCACGACAACCAGCTCACTGGCGACATCCCTAGCAGCCCGGACGACTCAGTCGGGATCACGTAAGCCCAATAGTCCATTACCGCGTCTCTTTGTTTGGACCAATCGATTGTTGTACCTCTGTTGGTAGCAAGGTCAACTCCGACTCCCACGTCAATTTGGTATGCTTAGCCGTACGAGTTTGCAGACTCGCTCCCATCACCTTTTCATGTATCCTTTGACTGCAAATTTGATAGTCTCGGCAATCGTTACTGCTGCCGAAAAGCAGTCTCATCTCCACTTGTCTTGCCAGCCTTGAGAAAGCATAAGAAATCAGCGATCTTAAAACTGGACGTGGATGTAACGCGCGGCTTCGTCCAACGTGAGCAAACTCCACGAAAAATCAGGTTCATTGTTCAGATCTACCAAAGTTCTACTAATCTATTTTGATGCGACGTTCCCAAGAGCATTGCGCTTGTCGGCCCAATACACTCTTTGCCTCAGTCCGCTTTCCACCCGTTCCCTGCTTCTCAAAAGCACTTCGGCGGCGTTCGATCCGACACCCTTTGGCTCAACCTCCATTTTCTTTGCCAACATTCGTCCTCCCGCCAAAACTGCTGTTTTTTCGCCTTACTTGCACTTCCATCTCAACATCCCCGGTGCTGAATCCAGTGCCCCCTGAAACGGGTAATCTTTTACGCAGAGCGTTTGGCAACTCCTGGTGCGCTGGCAATGCTCAACTCCCCGCGTGCCAGGTGCCCCCAACTCTCGCCGCTGCCCCCATCGCCCCCTCTTCAGCGGCCGCGGTCCCGGCCCCCACGTCGGCGCTGCAGCTGCCAAAAGGCTGCTCGTGCCCATCAGGTTTGCTTCTCTATGTTTCCCTCTTCTTTTGGAAGGGCTTATGGAACGTGTGATTCTTGATAATATAGGGCCAAGAATTGTTAGGTTTGGCTCTCTTTGTTTCCCCCTTTTTTTGGAGAGGTCTTATGAAACGGTGCTATTTTGGCGACGAGGGCCAAAAAGTTTTGGCATTTCTGTCGCTGCGAAACTCCTGGGGCGCCCGAGCAGAGGTTTTGGACGAGGTTGAGATCAGCGTCCGGACGTCGCTTCGGTTGCGGCCGTGTGCACGAAAGCTTCCAAAGCGTAGAATTGTGCCTTCCAAGCAGGGTCCACATCGTCCTGCGTAAATCATCTTCTGATAATGCTCATATCAGACGTCTCATAAAGAGGTTTTGACCGTCCAGCTGAAACATGCTTCCCAACTTTTTCTCAATCGAAAGACCCCAGCCTCGTACTTGGAGCACCCCTCGGGCTCCTCCTACAAAGACTTCCCCTCGAATGCTCTAACTGTATCATCTCTTCCGGTGCGCATTCACATATGTTCTCTGGCGCTAAGTCAATGTTTGTTCCGCCCTTCTCAGGCTAAGCCCCCCAGCCGTACAGCTTATTTTTATCATCTTCTGGTTAAGCATTCTTTACAGCGCTCACTGACTGATTGTCCTGCCCTTCTCAGGCCAAGTCCTCCAGCCATACACTCTGACGTCATCATCTTCTTGTTAGGCATTCCTTACAGCGCTCTCTGCATAGTTGTCCTGTCCTTCTCAGGCCAAGTCCCCAAGCCTTTATTTTTGACTTCCAGCATTTTCTTGCTAAGCAATTCTCACAGCGCTCTTTGACACACACTCACTGTATCAACTTCTTGCTAAGCAATCCACAGCGCTCACTGAGTGTTTGTTCCGCCCTTCTCAGGCCAGGTGCCTCAGCCGTACACTCTGAGCACGCAGCTGGCCCCCAACGGCTCCGTCCCCTGCTCGTGCGTCTCCCCCTCGCAGTTCGTCATCAACCTCCCCGGCGTCAGCTTCGTCGAACTCACCCCCATCCGGTTCCAAAGGTACGCAAGGTGGCAGAATCTTTGGCACTTGACTTCTTTCGTTCTTGTCATGCGCATGCTTTCTCTCGGTTATCTGGCGGTTTAGCCGCATGACAACTTTCTTACGGTGAAGAGCTTAGTTGCAGGCTTGAACGGTCGAAGATAGGTCACGTGCCCCTGGATCAAATCAACTTAGAGTCCAACCTTATCTGCAACTTCTTGTCCAAAGCACCCGCCCACCGCTTTCTTAGGTTAGGGATTAGAGACTCGACACAAGACCGTGTACCACTCCCAGCCCCCTGTGTGCACGCTTGCCGCTTGATGTGGCCGTGCTGACCTCTCCAATTATCCTTACTGCCAAGCAGGTCGATTGTGACACATCAAATTTTTCGGCGCCCTCTTTTCTGATCTTCCAATCGGTCCGCCCACCTGCAAGCAAGCAGGCTCGCCGCCAGCCTGACATCCGCATCAATCAGAAAAGTTTCTCGCAACAAGATCTAACTCTAGTTTCGATACCTCAACCCGCCTGCCCCCGAACAGAGAACGTGAAGTAAAACCCATCTTGCGCTTCTTTTCCCAGGCTCGCCGCCAGTCTGGCCACCACGCTGAACCTGCTCCCCGAGCGAGTTACCCTGCAACGGATCTCACTCTCGTCTCAACTCTCTAGCAACCAGTCAGTAAGCTTATCTACCCAAAGAATAACGCGACTGGAATGCTGAGTGCTTATAGGCTTCTTGCTTCCTGCCCCCAGGCTCGCCGCCAGTCTTGCCGCCACGCTGAACCTGCTCCCCGAGCAAGTCACCCCTGAGGGCGCATGCCGCGCCTCGGACCAGTTTTGCGGGGTAGTCTGCGACTCCCCGCTCTGCCACGGCACGAACTCGGTCTTCCAACTTCTGCCCGGGACGGCGTGCCTCGCGTCCCGCCCCAACTGTACGTCGCTCTGCAAGTTTCCGCCGTGCACCGGAACCACCGCCGCCTTTCAGCTGCTGCCAGTCGAGGGGCAGCAGATACCCGCGAGCTATGTAAGCCTGGATTTTTGGATTCTTTCGGAATCCTTTCAAAGAAATTGGATTTTAGCAATTTGGACGTCGGTTACGTTTTAATCCTTCTACAAGTTCCCGCCATGCACCGGAACCACTGCGGCGTTTCAGCTGCTGCCGGTGGAGGGGCAGCAGATACCCGCGAGCTATGTAAGGTCGATTCTAGGGTTTATGGTTTATTCTAGGGTTTTTTGAGAATTCTTCTGGGTTTTAGAAGGTTCATTTTCGAGCCTTCTGCAAATTTTCGCTGTGCACCGGAACCACTGCCGCGTTTCAGTTGCTGCCAGTCGAGGGGCAGCAAATCCCGGCCAGCTATGTAAGTCAGGCTTTTGGAGGATTGGTCTTTTTGGATTGTAAAGTTCAGACTTATATTGCTCCCGTTCCACTCAGGTTGCAAAGCGATTCTGCTCAGAAGCCTAATCATCATCGGGGTCAAGTATTCGTAACAAAAGGGCGTCTTTCAAGGGGAGGTACACGGAGTGTATCTTTTGAGTTGCTTGGCTGTGGCTTTCCCCCAAGCGGGCGTCTCGTGTCTCCAATTGATTCTTTCATTTCTCAAAAGTTTCTTGGGTTTCTGGACCCCTCTCATTCCGTATATATCAAATCCAACGCGGAAATTCATTTGCTGCCCATAGAGGGGCCGTGGACACCCGCGAGCTGCGTGAGCCGGCTACGAAACACCGATCGGTTTTCTGCTTCACACATTCAGATTGGGTTCGGAAGCTACCGTGCAAATTCATGGTCTGAGCAGTGGATAGCTCCACATCGTGTTTCTCCTCTATGCTGATCTTGTGGCATTCGCAATAAGTTCATGCCTCTTGAAAAGAATAGTCGAGTCGAATCTCTTCTCAAGAAGGCTTCTTTACAGGAAGCAGCTTCTCATTTTTTGCCCCTGCGCATCCACGGCCGATAACCCCCCTCGTGGCGAACGCCGCTGGCAGGAGTCAAAGCCTTCCGGATACCCAAGTATTTGGAAGGACACAATTTCTGTGACCCCGTTTCCGAACCTCTTTCTGCATGATGAGGACTTGCACTGGCGGCTTGCGGTTGGCGCCGCCAGGTTTTGACTTTGCCCAACTAGAATGTGGCTCCCCGTTTTTGTACACGGATCCAGAGCCTGGAGACGCGCCTCACGGTCGCCGGCGCCGACTCGTGGTTTCCCACCAAAAGCGACGAACTTGTTTGGGTCCTAGAAGATTTCTCACGCTTTACGCAGCTTGGCTAACTTGTGGCTCCCCGTTTTTGTATACAGATCCAGAGCTTGGAAACGCGACTTACGGTTATGGGCGCCAACTCGTGGTTCTCCAACAAGATCGACGACGACTTTGTTCCGTACACGCTCGTCATTGCGCAGCCGCCCACCACAATCATCATACAGACCAAGACGTCGACGTCAACGATCGTCATTGCGGTCATCGGCGCGGTGGTCGGGATGGGCGTTCTTCTCGCGATCTGCGCGGGGCTGGGCTTGGGTTTGTGGTGGCACCGCAGGTGTGTTTCTTCAAACGGGTACCAAGTTCATATTGAATCTGATATCAAGTTTAATCTCGTTGGAAGAACAAAATGATTGTTTGGCCTGCCGGCATCTTCAAAGAATGTCAAACGTTTGAATATAAGATTGATTATCTGGCCTGCCAGCATAAATAAGGAGAGTCAAACGGCGGTAACGGACGATGGTCTTGCTTTTTGGGGGCTTAAATTGGGTCTGCCGAACTTCTCGGAAGTTTCATGTATAGATGTTTGGCGTAACCGTCGAGAAAGAACGCTGGCACAGTAGTAAGCTTTGGGTGTACTTTGCTTGTGACCCAACTCGAGTATTTAACCCTCAATTGACCTGCTCCGCATTTGTAAACACTCTAGGTCATTCATCAATTCCTCACCCGTCCCGTTGCCGAGCTTTCTACTATCTAGTTTTGACGATCGCTACTCGAAAAAGAACAAAGTACTGAAGCTCTCTACCGCAGGCGGCGTCAGAGGCTCGATGCAAACCCGTGGTTGCGCGCGGAGAAGAGCCGGTGGAGCACGGCGCGGCCGCTCCGGGAGGGGTCCGGCGTTCCGCTCACGCAGGAGGCGAGCGGATCGTCCGGGTGGCACCCAACAGCGGACACAAGTGAGTAATCACACAGACAGCTGAAAACTCATACACAGAAGCGATAAAGGTCACGCACAAGTGATTAGTGACAAACAACAGTGAGTAAACACACACACAAGTGAGTTTTCTCACGCACAAGTTAGTTTTCTTATTGGGCGGATTCCTTGCCGGGGCGTGGGCTCCTGGCGCTTTACGGCTTCAATTTCGCCAGATTCTTGACTTGCGCAGAATAGACGAGTGGGTCGTCCGGCCGGGTGCCGCCCACTGCAGACACAGGTGACTTTTGCATCAAAGGTTTCGTGTCCTTTCCTTACTCCAAACGCCTTTTGTGAAGAGGGTTTGTGGCTGAGCCCCGGCGCTCGTCTCGTGTTCGTGTGGCGCCCCGCAGCTGGCACACGTGAGTTTTGATTTAGAGGGTTTCTAAATTCTGTTCCTTCGCTTTTCGAGCCAAGATCTTCCCGATGTCGGGTGAGGCCTGGCGGGGGCGTAGCCTTCTGATCCCGCTCTACGCCTTTTCGTCCACCCCGTCCTCAGCTCCGTACGGGCAATCTGGCCCGCTACTCGAAATGATATTCCTAGATCACCCGGGAAGATCTGCAGTCAGATTGTCTCAACAGAAATCCTGGGCAATCCTTGAAACCCATGATTCTTCTATACCGGAAAAGTGATCTTGCTCTAAACCGTAGTGATTAACTCACGTCCTAAACCTTTGGTTATCTTCAGCGAGCCCATGGTCGGGGCCCCGATCCGCCACCGCGGAGCCGTTCCTCAACACCGAGCTGCGCACGTACAGCTTCGCGGAGCTCGAGGCCGCGACCGACGACTTCTCAACGGAGCGCGCCATCGGGTCCGGCGGTTTTGGGACAGTGTATCGGGCCACCTTTCCGGACGATTCCGAGGTAAGTCTTCATGGTTTCTTGGAGTCCCAGGACATGAGCCCGGGCAGTGACCAACCGCTTTCTAGAATGATTTCAAATTGGATGGCGAAGGCGTCTCTACGGTCGTTAAAAGTTCGCTCAGCAATTATGTTCTCGTGTTCTCTGCAATGAGCATCGTCATACGTCCAAGAACCCTCTCTTTCGCTTTGATTGTATCGCATCATGCGATGAAACCAGCTCCAGATTCAAGGAAAAAGAATTTGTATCATAGTGCTTCCCACCGGTTGGCGTGCCTGGGCAAGCAACCGTAGAGAAGGGCGGTCTTTGGATGGTTCTACGGTCTACCCCTTAATTAATCCAGACCAAAAGTTTGGCTGACCCTGCCTCCCGCGAGCCTCCTCAAAATCTTTAACCCCCTTCTTAACCCAGGTCGCGGTTAAGCGGCTAAGCCTGGAGAGCAAGCAGGGTGAGCCGGAGTTCCTGGCGGAGATTGGCGCCATATCGCAGCGGCTGAAGCACCCTAATCTGCTGAGACTCATGGGCTACTGTTCGCACGGGCGGGACAGGCTGCTGGTGTATGAGCTCATGCGGCGCGGGGATCTCAGGTATGGTCATCAAGTTCCAAACTTCAGGGTTGTATCGTTTTAAGAAACGCCAAAGCTTCGGCTGCGGTTGGTCATAGCCCGCAAACCATCTTCGAACATAGGGGTAAGAGTAGGGTTGTTTATATGTGAGCTTCGCTCACGGTCGAAGCCAAAGAGCGCTGACTTTGAAATCCAAACCCCAAGGGTTCAATGCTTGACGGCTCGTCCGCTATGACAGCAATCTCTGGCTTTCCGGTCTCCTTCTTGGTATTTCTTCCCGCTTGCCTCGTCCAATTCGCTCGACTTACAAGCAGCGCGCCTCGTCCGATGCGTCCCGGCTTGTAACTTGGGTCTCCCGTATCCCGCAGAGGTTATCTGCGAGATGGGCGGAAGGAGCCAATGGCATTTCTGGACTGGGAAACGCGGCTCAACATAGCCTGCGACTCCACAGCAGGATTGCAGGTAAGATCGACGCTCCGCGAAAAAGAAATTGCTAACGCAGGATGTTGCTCACGATTACAATTGTACCCTGCAACTCGAATGAACGAAGTGTCATTATGATCACACCTGCTTCTGCAAGGTCCTAGTCGCACTCCGGTTCTCATTGTGCTGTCTAGGTACCCGGCTCTGCTGGTAAGCAGAGCCGCTCCTAAAAGACGCGTGTCTCCTTGCAGTATCTGCACGAGGGGTTCCGGCCTCCAGTGGTAAGTGCCACCACTTTCTTAAGTGTGTAGATAGCGCAAGTCCTCTGTCAGGCTTTCGAGAGTTTAGCTCTGCCGCCTTCAAACCGTCTCCTATGATGTCGGGTCATTTGCAACGGGTTTGCGCAGCATCTGATCTGATGTGCGATGCACTTTTGAAGACAGTGTGATATTCTGACTAGAAGTGCTTGAGAATTCTCGGTATTGGGGCTGTTTGGAGGCCATAAAGCACATTAATAAGCGCCCTGTCCTACATACACTTTAGAAGTTTATTCCTCACGGGATCTGTGACAGTGTGCGTAATGGGTGTGGAAAATTGGGCGAGTTGCTGTTGATTTTTCCTTTCCTGTCAGCATATATTGACCAGTTTGGCCGGAATAGCTCTTGCTTGTCCTTCGAAACGCAGGTGCATCGGGACATCAAGACGTCGAACATCCTCTTGGATGATGACTTCCGGGCAAAGGTGAGCGGCTGAATGCTCTCTTGGCCTTTAATGTATCGCGCTTCTGATTTTCTTGTAAGCCTTCGGCAAAGTCCGGTTCTTATATAAGGGCACTGTTCGTTCTTCTTTCTGTTGCTGCACTCACTGAGACGGCAAGGACCTGCGCGTGCTAGCTTCTAATGAAGACGTTCGTTGTTCTCCTTCTTGAATCGAATTTGAAGGCCTTCACCGCCTTCACGTGCACTCGTCAGGCCCCTCTGTTTGGCAATCTGTCTCCGATCTTGAAACCGAGATTACGTTCATTCGTACGGGCCCCGCAAATATTCTTCGGGGCGGGGGGACCTCCTCACTCTATCTTGGCCAGCTTGGCAAAACCCCGGGCCCGCGATACGCGGAGGCAACGAATGTACGGCAACGCCAGCGTTTCGCCAGTCACTTACCATGAAGTCCAAGCGGGGATATTTAGTTTGTTCTTTTCTCTGCAGATCTCCGACTTCGGGCTGGCCAAACTGTACCCTGAGGATGATGCCACGCACATCACCACCAAAGTGCAGGGGTGAGCTCGGCCGCACGTCGAAGCGCAAACACTTTCGTGTCTGTAAGAGGCATGATTCAAAATACTTTTCTAGAATACTTATAGTAAGCTCAAGTTATTGTAAGAACGAAGCTACCACTGAAAACCTGAACCCAAAATGTCACCCGCTCCGCAGCCGTCCCCACCCTAACCCCCATACTAATCCTACCCGTCCCAGTACTATACCTTGAGCTTACTATACCTAGTCTGGGGAATGATTGGTTCACAGGCGATCTGTCGTCGTGGCAAAGTTACGTTGCTAGCACCGAAGTTTGATACTTCCTAGACTTTCAAGTGCTCTCGGCCTATTCGCTCCAGTCGTTCTGCCTTATCAAAGCAAACTTCTAACCGAGCCAGTAACTTTCTTTGCAGGACGTACGGTTACTTGGCGCCTGACTATGCCACTACCGGGCTTCTCAACACCAAAAGCGACGTCTACAGGTAAGGAACAGGAGTATGAAAGCACGCAAAAAGTCCAATCAAGATGGTCGCCATTTGCAAGTATCCTACGTTGGTAGGATAGCATCTGCTTGCCTATGGTCATAATTGAGTCGTCTCCTTGCGACAAGTGCATGATCGATGACCTGGGTATCACTGAAGAACGGTCTCAGCGTCAGAGTACTTCAATCTTGCCTGGGCCGTCGTGAGCGAAGTCGATTGCACAATCTGGTCGAGTCTGAGATACTCTAGTAATAATCCGCTGGAGAACTCAAGACACTAGCATCTCTGAGTAATCCGCCGGAGAACTCAAGATACTAGAGCAATAGCCATGACCTACACCTTGAACAACCACGGTTTTTGACTCACTCTTGCCTCTTGCACTGCATTTTTCGACTTTATAACTTATGGCTCTGCTTTCTTTCAGAAAAAGATATCTTCTAGCAAAACAAAACGCCCTCCTCCTTGGCAGCATGGGCGTGGTCTTCCTGGAGCTCTTTGCGGGCGTCGTCGCGGTATCCGCGACCACCCTCAACTCTGACGTCAACAGCTTCTTGGTGCCCTGGGTGAGTCCGCAAACTCTTCCTCAAGCGCTGACGTCAACAGCTTCTTGGTTCCCTGGGTGAGTCTGCATACGCTCTCTCACGCGCTGACGCTCGTGCACCGAGCTACCGGGGTGCGGTACGTCAGCAAGGGAAGCCCGCTGAGATGTCCGCAGACGGTGGCGAGGGCTCTGGCTCCCGTCGGGCTTCTTGTTGCACGTACGTGGATTGCGATCGTGCGCTCATGTACGGTCACTCTGTGAGATGCCTTCTGGTGTCACCTACGCCCTTCGGAACTGACCCATGCTGTTTGACCGAAGTCTGACTTAGCACGGCGTGTCTGAACTACAAGAGCGCCCCTGTTTTGTACGGGTTTCGCTGATAGTCCACCCTGCGTCATCGGATGGTTGGGGGTTGCACTCCGCTGCACGAAGGCAGCAATGAGTGTCAGAAGTCCAGTCCGTGCCTAGATCACTCCGTTTCCGTCCGTTCTTGCAGGCCCGGCGGAACAGCGGCAAGGCGGGGTTCTGGAAGGAGGTGATGGACCCTGCTCTGGAGGGGCAGTGCCCGCCCAAAGCTGCCAAAATCTTCGCGGCACTGGCGGTCGGCATGAGCTCGCACGTAAGCGACATCGTGTTTCAAGATGTGCTTCGCTTGCGCGCTGGTGTTAGATAGAACGCTGTCCAGTACGTTTGACCTGGATTAAAAACAGTTCCGTGATCTGAAACTGCATTCAGCAGCACTTGCTGAGGTGTCGTCAATGTCTTGAGCCTCCGTACCAAGATCCCGGCATCCCCTTCTTCGTTGGGAGCCTTTGAGAGCTGGCCCGGGCCTTTCGACACCGCATAAAACGCCAGAGCCCCAAGATCAAGGTCGCCAGGTGCAGTTCGTCAAGTCTTCCTTCTTTCCCCGTTCAGGATCCCAATGCTCGCCCGACAATGAGCCAAGTGGCTTACACATTGGAAATGGTGAAGAAGGAATGCGCCGCCAACCAGGGCCAACCGTCCCTCCCACGGACGGCCGGTTCTAATGGTGTCGTCGGCACGACGTCAGCGAGTGGTAGTGGATCACGTGCTCGGAAGGGTGATAGCTATCGGCCGTTCGAGCCCCAGTCTGGCACGTGGGCTGAAGATAGTCTTACGGGGGGGTCTAGTAGGACGACCGGCTCGGAGGGAACATGGGTGCAAATGAGTGAGTCGGAGAGCCTGCCGGAGCATTCAACGCTCTTGCGGCATGGTCAAGGCGTCACTGTTGTACGACCGGAAGTCTTTCAAGGTAACGGCCGATAGTATATAGTGTAGACACGGAGCCCAGAAGCCAAGGCCGCCAAAATGGCCAAAATCCGGATGCTTATAATTGAAGAGCCACTACACGTATATGCCTCATATAACAACTACATACAATGATATAGTGTCCTCTGCTCTCTCATAATCGTTTGTTTGTAAAGTATTGAAGGCCGGCCTTGGTAGTTGTCAGGGTTTTTGGAACTGGAGAGACCACCTAGCTAGCTAGGCCCTTAGTGGCAACATGTAGAAAGTCTGTGAGTTTGGATACTTGTTCAATTTTGTAGAGGCCTGTCATATAAAGCAAGCTCAAGGATTTAGTTCTCTGACAATCAGCAAGGCAAGGTCATACAATCCGTAGCATGCAGCTATCACTGGAGTGATTAAAGATATTACATACGATTGTCACTACGCATTCTGCCTTGTTCGATCAGATTTACCTACAATGATCATGATATGGAAGCGTTGCATGATCATTCATCAGTACCTGCATGATATATCCGGCGATTCGACACGTTCACTTGATATACCTACCGTACCCATATTCAGTCATATAAGCGGCGGTTATTAACCGCGATCCATGTACGGTTGATGAAATCCTCAACATCATCAACACATTTGGGTTGCAGTTGCATGCCTGGCATCATGGCATGGCCCATGTGAAAGATGAAGTTGGGCGCGGCAGGCTCCAAACGTGGATCCCCCGGGATCTCAAATTTTCATGTCATGATGATGTAATTCAAGTTTGAATGCTTCGGTGCGGCCGACGACACCAGCAAGTTCCCGCCAATTCTGTGCAAACGTGGCACTCGAACCGTGGCCTCCCATGGCGTCCTCGATATCCGGAGCCAATCAAATGATGGAACATCGCCACCTGGACTTTGAGGTCAATTGAAAATGGCATGACGTACGCCGCTTGCCGCCATTGCCATGATGGCCCATTCAAGTTTGATTGAGTTGGCATTGCCAGTGCATGCCAGGGAAGCCCGAGGCGGCCAGATGATTTCAAATTCTCAGCAATTTGAATTTGAGTCTTCAGCCGCCTCCTGCTGAGCTGCAAGAACAGGATGGAGGTGCTATGACCACTTGACCAGTTTACTGTCCACCTGTCACACCTTTTTGTTAGAGTCGCCTTCCCTCGAGCGATAAGTGCGGCAAGGTGGCCGGTGCTGCAAGATGGCGGGATCGGCGCCATGTGCATGCTTTCCTGCTTCTTTTCAAGCTCAATGGAGCCACATTGCCACCTATGGACGCACACTGAGGCTGGATCTGCCAGCCACAGCACTCGCGATTACCAGACCAAGCCCGCACTTGGGCCTCCATAACCCAGGCAGCAGGGGTGGGCGCTGGATCGTCAATGCGTCTATTGCAGGGACAGGGGAGGTTTGCAATGGGAGTGCGAATGGGGTTCACTCAAAAGGTAGCGAGGCAGTGCCAGTGGCTAGGCACTGGCAAGAAAGGGCAGTGTCGTGGGTAGCTCAGCCTGCCGCACCAGGGGCCCTTAGGGACGCCACCGACTACTGTGACGTTCCTTTGAACTACTACCAGGTGCGGGTCTTCAAACACTCTCCTAGACAGTTACACTTACCGGTTTATCTAGTGGCCACAAAAGTCTTCTCAATTCTATGCTGATTCTCACATGTGCCTTGCGTCGCGCTTGTCCTGTCAAGTCATGTCGAGTCTGCAGTCGCGTCTTGCAGTCAAGCATGTATTGCAACTTAGGTGGTCCGCTTTTAGCATCAATTCCAAACGGTTTGGGAGCTCCCTCGCTGAACCCATTGCGCGGTAACTGCAGCTAGCTAGGCCCCAGGGAAGAGACACAGGGTGGTGAGTGTGAACCGGGGTTGTGTTGGCATCATTGACGGCACATGTTGAAGATACACATTGTTTTGCTGTAGATTCTGGGACTCCGAGAGTCGGCCACACAAGATGAAGTCTGGCATGCGCACCAGTGCGCTCTCAAGGCATCCCTGGCAGAGGAGGGCTACTCCCAGCTGGCCATCAGTGCTCGTAAAGTAAGGACGCAAGAAGCCCTCTGAAGGGTGATTGTCACGAGTAAAAACTAAATTACTTGCACCCATGATTAGTTCAGGATTGCCAGTCAACTGGGTGCCTTAGAGTGTTTCAAAGTATATGCGCTTAGTAAGGCCTTGCTCTGGTGCCTTTCAGATCTCGGTGTCAAGAGAAGCTACCTGAAAATGCAAGAAATTCTATGTGAAGTGTTCCCCTGTGACAGAGTCAGCTCCATCTTTTTGTGGTCGACTGTATCCAAGAAAGGCTGCCAGCGTGAGCGTCTCATGGTGATTGGGCACAGCCCTTCTCTCCATTCTAAGTCTCCCAACACTCCCTAGGCGACTGAGTGATGCGATGCGACCACCGGCTTACCGCAGGTTTCCACTTGTGTTGCCAGGAGCTTTAATACCATGCTAGCATGAGAGTTGAGACTTGTGATCCTCACTCCACCATTTCAGGAGATCCTGGATGCCGCTTATTCGGTTCTTGGCAAGGACACGCAACGGAGGGAGTACACAGCACACGTGCGGCGCAGCAGGAACGGCGTCCTCTCAGTCCCCTGGGAGTGGGTGCCGGGACTGCTTATTCTGGCACAGCAGGTGAGGGGCAGGTCCTTTCACTTTGGGGCCACATACGTCAGTTGCTCCTTACCACTAAACAGACTTGCTTAAGAACTACCTTGTCCATGTTTTTTCCAGGAGACATAGAGAGAGACACAAGTCCATAGTCTCAATAAACGACAAACTTGTCTTCAGTTGCACCTTACCAGACTCGCCTGAGTACTACTTTTTCCTGTTGTTCTGGAGAGCGACACTTGAATCAGAGAGACGAATTCATGTTCTGTTTTACAAACCTCTCAAGGGGGGAGAGTTGGGTGGGGGTATTAAGGTGGCCATGCACAGGTTGCAACACCCACGGCCAAGTGCTTTCGTAAGTATGAGGACTGTTGCGGTTCACTGACTAAATGTGCTGGGCTGCTCAGAAGTTATGCGTACGATCTGGCCCAGTCATTGTGGCATCAGCCCAATTGCCCCGATACATATGAGTGGAAAGTAGCAGAAATCTGTATGTACAGACAAAAACGGGTGGAAGGCAGGAGGATTGAGCTTGTTTTCATCTGCAGGCAGGGGACGCGACCCTTGTTCTCAGTTGCGGGGAACAAGCGCTCCAGCGGACGACCCTTAACCCCCTGAAGGGGGACGTAGTGCTTGCGATGGCGCTCGCACAAGTAAGTGAAAGAGTGGCCACTTTTCAAAAAAGTGAAGAAACACGCAGTATCTGTAGTCCTTTAAGAGATACGTCCAGCTTGTCCATGTTGGAAACACTTCCGCTAAGGAATTTGATCACCTTCTACGACTCAAACTGCCGTCATGTGGCTGAGTTCGATAAAAAAACCTCTCTCGCCAAGATCCGTCATAATTGGTTTCTTGTTTCTGTCTCTGCATAGTGACCGGAGTTCACAGGACTCCCAAGAAGATGCTCAATACTGAGCACCTTGATCACGGTCTTTCGCCATCGTATTCCTCCAAGTCGGATCGAGACTCGTATGCACTGTCTGTGGGTGAAAGGAACAGCTGCTAACTATCCCCCCCCACCAACTCTCCAGTGTTCCTTGGCTCGCGACGACTTCGAAGCGGACAGCGTGTGTTCTGCGTGTGCCCATCTCCGGACGGCGCTGGAGCTGCTTCAGCAAGGGGGGGACCTGCCCCTCCGGCCAGACTTGCAGGCACAGGTGAGGGATTTGCACAGTCAACTCCACAATAGTCGCGAACAGACTCGGAGCGAGACCGCAAACTTTACGAGCTCGGAAGTTGTGTCAATGATAAGGGGCTAATTCCTACCAGCAGTGGCAGACGAGGAGGCGAAGTGGATGAACGAGATGCAAGCGTAAAACCTAGAGCAGTCACGAAAACAATCTCCTCCGCAAATGGCAACGTAATAAAGTTCGAAAAACCCAGCGACGTTTCTCGGCTCTTTTTCCCTCCAATCTTCCTAGTAGCGACTTTCGCTCGGGAGCTTGCGAACCAAGGCTAATCGAGGGTAACCAAAGCGAGCTAATTGGGCCCTCTCCATGAGCCAGATTGAGCACACCGTGACCGCATGCGGTTCCGCGGCCTTTCTCGAACAGCTCGCCCAACCTGAAGGCAAGATTTCCCTCAGGGGTTGACTAACCAAGGTTAACTGAAAGCTGACTAACCCCAATCTCTCTGTCTGGGAGATCGAGCACACCTTGACCGAGTGCGGTCCCGCCGCCACCCTGGAGCAGCCAAGTTTGCCAAGGAGCCGACTGACCATAATCAACCGAACCTAACCCACGTTGAATAAAGCTGGCTAACCGTTCCTTCTCTCCGTGCCCAGATTGAGCGCACCTTGACCGAGTGCGGTCCCGCCGCCATCCTCGAGCACCTCGCCCAGCCTGCCACCCCGGGTAACCTCACCGCCCGCTCCGCCGCAGTCCGCCAGTCCTTGGAGCTAGTCCAGGCTGCACTCACGCATGCCCCCCGGGGAGATCAACTGGGAACCAGAGTGGGCTGGTTTTTGGCCGCGGCGCAGGAGAGCATGGGGGCGGACGAGGGTGTGAATGGGCTCCCCTGGGAGGCGATTTCCAAGGCCTATCGGGGGGGCGAAGTCGATACCCCGGTGATGCTTCGCGGGGCGATGGCGCACTGTGCGCTGGGGTTTCGGAACCGGGAGCCGAAAATGGTGAGGCATTGGGCTTCGAGACAAGCGTGTTTGCGGGTTGTTGTTCCTTTCCAGCAAGCATGGCGTTTCTGCTGAGGCGTGCATGAGATGGACCTATAGATTGGCGAGCTTGCGACGTCTGCATGACGTTGACAGGCTCTTGCTGGCGGCTTCAGCCGAACAAACGCCCCGGTAGCTCTCATGCTTGGGTACCGTCTTTCTTCCGAAATCCGTCGCTTTCTTTCAGGTGGGCAGGTCTCAGGTGTAACGATTTTCTTCTACCTGTCTTCGCATTTGGCCTGTCTGTTGTTTGCATCATTCGCAATCAAACCAGGTGCGACTCACCTGATGTTGCAATCGTTCGACGTCCAGCCTTCCAATGACGTCAGTATGTGACGTCACTCTCTCTTCTCCGCAGGTGGAGCAGTGCGGTGAGCTGTTGGGGTTGGTGGTGGACCGCGAGGGCGAGCGCGCCAGCGTGCACGCGGAGATGGCCGTCGTGGCGCTGCTCCTGGGCCTGGTAAGCCTCACATGATTCCTGAGATTCGAATTCTGAGTATAGGACTTTTTTGGCTCCAATTTTTCACTCTCAAAGTTCCACTTCTTGCAAGAGCCTTTGCTGCCAAGTGTCGAAACCTCGTCTGAGCTCTCCAAAGTCTCAAGAACGAAGTGTTCTGGGGCTTCGCATTCCAGAGGATTGGACCCGTTTGTTTCCAATTCGACTACCGCCTCTTTGTTGCTACGTAGCAATCTGGCTCGGCTGGTAAGCCAAGCGTTATTTGTGAAAGGCTGCCGTTTCGAAAGACTGCTCTTATCATACTACTGTCGTTGCTTCTCGCTTGCACGTGCCCTGAAGATACGTGATTGCGGACGTTTCGCATCTCTCGCCCCAGGTGGATACGGCTCTTGACTGGCTGAGTGACGTTACCCCCCCTCCGCCGGGCAAGGTGCCGGTGGCCGGGTCAGTGGAAGAGGCGTTGCGAGCGCTGACCGAGGAAACTGAGAACGGCAACAAGGACGGGGTTATGCACAACCTCTGCCTGTTCACGGTGAGAAAACCGAGCGGAAAGTGAGCCCTATTGGTGTACCAATTGGGAGCATCTGTTCAAATCAGCACTGAATCTGGACAAATGGCACTGATTGAGACGGTGTCGTCTTTGCAGCGTACTTTCTGACGGCTGCTCCATCAACCTTCTAACTCGTATTATCGAGCCTCAGTCGCACTGTTGATCAGGACCTTGAAGCAGCCTTTGTCGATAGTCACTACAATGCCTACGTGCTATTTAGAGCCTCTCGAAGATGACAACCCAGTCCAGTATGATTGATTCTTACCCCGTCCGACTGGTTTGTGTTCCCGTATGAAACCTCACTTTCTTCAAACTTCTGAAGACTCGAGTTGCTCCTATGGAGAATCCCGCATTCTCCCGAAATTGACAACACAGTCCATCGCAATCATCGCATTCCCCGTCCGACTCGTTTCTTTGCCCATGTTCGACCTCTATTCCGCCAACGTTCTGAAGCCACCAGACTTTTACTAGGGGCTTTGATCAAGCATAGGAGAACGATACGGCTCTACTTTCAGGAGCGTTTCCTCCACACCCGCATCCTCGCCTCCTTTTGGGACACCCGCCGCAGCAGCCCCCCCCTCTCCACCTACCTCGAGGACAAGCGCGTGGAGCACTACTGGCAGTCCGCAGCAGGGGGATCCCCCCGCACTGCTCTGCTCGCCTACGCACGTGCCACAGCAGAGGCCATTCACACCGTCGTCGAAAAAACCAAGTGGGCGGTCCAGCACGCGCGCTCAAAGCTACGGGAGGTGAAGCGGCCGCCGACAATCGCTCCCACCCGCGCCGTTTTGCCGTTCGCCACCCCCCCCTGAAGAGACGGCGAGCGTCCCCACCCCCCCAGAAAGTGAACCCACCGTTGCGGAGCAAACAGCGGCGGCACTCCTGAGAGACCGACGCCATGTTCAATCACTCGCCACCACCCGGGAAGAAAAGGCGAGCGTTCCCGACCCCCTGGAAAATGAAGTCAACGTTGTGGAGCGCACGGCGGCTGCGCTTCTGAGCGACCGGCGGAACGGCGGCGCGGTGCGACCGAAGCTGCCCCCCCTTGCTTCTCCCGTCGTTCCACCCCCCCAAAGCGAGGGGGGCATCGCCCCCCCCCTGCCAACAGCCGCTCTCCCTGCCATTGAGATTTACCCCCCTGAACGTCGAAGACCCCGCAGCCGGTCTCCTTCCCCGGAACGACCAGCTTTACCCCCCGTCGAAAAAAGGCTGGAAGCGCAGAGGCAGGGTGCGCAGCGGCGGTCACGGGTTGGAAAGAAATCTTCGCTTCGGGGGGGCGACATGACGGGCTTGGCGGGGGGGTTGCTGCTGGCGGGGGTCACGCTTCTGGTGGGGCTCGTAGGGCGGGAGAAGCTTTTCCGCCGGACGCCCGAAACGCCCCACGTGACGTCCGCTCGTCCGTCCGCAAAAGCGCCGCCGCTGGTTGTGAAACCCCCCCGAGTCCCACTCGCCGACACCCCCCCTCCGTCCACCTCCGGGGGGGTCATCCCCGAGGGGGTACGCCTGCCGGACACGGTTCCCCCCGCAACGGAATGGAAGCGGTCCGAGCCCCCCGCCGCGATTGCGCTGCCGGCGATGAGCAGCCGGGAAGCGGAGGCGCTCGTCCGAAAATGGCACGCGGCGAAAGCGGACGCGCTCGGGCCCCAACATGCGAAGGGGCGGCTGAGCGACGTCGCGCTCCCCCCCTTGAAAATGCACTGGGCGAAAATTGCGGAGGATGCGCGGCGGGGGGGGCGGTATTGGAACTACAAGTTGCTAGACGTTGCGGTGGACTCGGCGAAAGTGTGGCGGTCTCAGCGGGGGAGTGAGGAGGAGGCGAGCCTGGAAGTGACGATCGAGGAGGCGGCGGAGCTGGTGGACACACGTGACGTCAGCGACAACGCGGTCTACTACAGGTGAGCTGACGTCACGCCGCGTCGCCCGCAACTGATTCCCTGGAGGCAATTGCGATGGTTAGTATATTGCAAGCCGTGACTCGCTGCAAGTCTGCTAGTAACATAACGACAGATCGTGTTGTAGGGTCACCGAAAAATATTGCTTTGCTGTGCTCTGAGAGGGGGTGCTTTACGGGTCCATTTACGGAAAAATGAGGATGCTTTTTGCTAGCGGTTGTTGTACAATACTCTTCTTCGAATGCTTGACGACAGACAACGGTTTAGCGTGGTTCAGAATCCTGTGTAGGTGGAAACCTCCAAAAGTGCTTGAAGTACTATATAAAGATTGGGAGGCGTATTTCTTGGGGTTGCTTTCCGTTGCAAAGATGCCGAAGACTTCCGCGGCATTGACGATCTCGATATTTTTTCCAGCACCTATCGTGCAAGATACTCGTTGAGGCGAGTCGATGGCGATTGGAAGTTCTGTGAAGGTGGGAAAACAAGGTAGCAGCTTGAGAGCTCATCACATGGTAATCTAGAGAATTGACAACTCACTTATGTGTAGATCATGCGAGCATCGACTGGTATTGATATTCTTGTTCATCTGGATGGTGGCTCAGGTGCAACTAGAGTAGAGCGTGACAAGTAGAAGTGCTTATAACCCGTCAAAAGGTCCGAAGTCATGATCTTTGTCTGTTGAATACATGTTCTTACTTTGTCGTTGGTCAGCTAGCCACGCAGGCAGGTCAGTGTACCTTTGCGCACTTGAATGGAGTTTGCAAACCGAAATGCGAAATGCGTACCTCTTCCAACTTAAGTGTAGAGAGCTATGCATGCACATGCTCGCGTAGAGAGAGCATCATCCGTTCAAATACTCGTCCTCTGGGATAGTAGAGTAATTCGAAAACAGGCGAGCGAGGTTGAAGCATTTCAAACGTATTGTGATGCGTCCACAGTGGGAAGCAGTCCCCGGGATACCGATGTTGTGGTCTGTTAACGATGTCAAACGTCTGAATCCTTGCTTATTCAATTGGAGGTTTTGTCGTGGACGGTCAGTGGACCCATTCCAAACGACTGGATCCTTGCTCATTTATTGGAAGTCGGCACTCAATCTGCTATAGCAGTCTACGCATCTACACAACATGACTTCAAGGTCCATGCCTGCTGCAAGTAGTGTGACTGCATTAGAATTGGTTGTTTACCTTTTCAAGCATCAGGTCGATCGAGGACCGCTTCGTGCATAGCCTGCTAATTTTTCGAGTATCAAGGAGAAAAGTCTTTGCATGCACGATGCTAGCCCACGAAAACAGTTTCTTACTTTGCCATGCCAAGGTGATGTAAGGCGTGTGACCACTTTTTGCACGTTTCAAGCAGAAGCATCGCACGATCGATCTGAATCATGTTTATATATAATTCACCATGATATTCACCTCGAGGGGCCGTCGCCTTCAGCGGCCGGCCTCTCTTGTGATGTACATCATGCATCGCATGCAGTGGTATGGGCTACTGAGGCGGCCGGCATGAGGCCGGCATGTACTGCTTACAATCTAGCAAGTCATGCAGTCAGATTTAGATGCACAAGGCTCAAGCTCCTGCCGCCCTGACGCTAACAGTTAACCCTCACAATCACCCTGTTCCGTGGTGCTCATGATGCGCACGCAAACTCACCCTAAACCAAGCGAGCTTTCTCTCTGCAGTGCCTGCACCCGTCCCTAGCTGAGGCTAATCTGTACATCCAAAGTTCAAACCTTTCAGCGCCTGCTTAGAATCGCATTGTTGACGTGGCCGCCCGTCGCCTGCCGGCGGCCAAGCCCCTCTGTCCGCCCGGCCCCTGTATTTAAACGTGACCTGTTGTTCAATAATTTCTTCCAGCCGGGGAGCCCCCGGGGAGCGTGTGCAGTGTGCACTGTGGCCTTGAGCCTCCTCGGGCTAGCTCAGTTGGTTGAGTGTCGTGCTTAACCTAGCACACTAAAAGGGGTTGGACCGAAAGGTCGTGTGTTCGATTCTCGAACCCGGCCATCCGCTGCGGAAGGGGCGAGGATTCCCCTTTCGTTTGTCGGTGTGCTAGTCCCGGTGCTGCAGCTGATCAGCCCGGTGTGCCAGACTGTTCATACCTTTTAGTGTGCACTGTGGCAACTCCCTTGCATGTCTCGTATTAGGGCCAGGGGCTTGTCTCCCAACTTGTCACAAGGTTCATAGGCCGGGGGACGGGTAGGGTTGGTTTCGTGGTTAGGGTGGGTAGGGGTGTGGAGCGCGTAAATTCTGGGTTAGGATTTTTTGTTTTGGTGCCCGGGGCTTCTGAATCAAGCCCCACGGGACACGGGAGTTGCCAGTACCCCGCGCGGGGAGAAGTTGAATTCGGAAGGTCAAGATTGTCGTCATGCTAACTTCTAAGGCACCAGGCTGTCGTGATCAGTGTGTGATTGGCTGAGCCAGTGGAAGTAAATGCCCGAGGCCAGGCAGCCAAGTGATCAATTATGCAGGTACAGTTTTGTTGCCTGCATCTTGGATGTGCATCATTGCTCTGTCCGTGGTAGGTTGTATGGCATTAATGTATGCACTGTGCAGCCAAAGACTGATTGGTCTCTAGATACCAGAAGACGCGGTTTCGTTCCATTAGCTATATGGATAATTGAAGTCAAACGAAGCGCATTATGCACAGATCCGGCACACTGCAACTTGGGCGCAAGGGGGCGAAGCTGTGTCAACCAACATACTAGCTCGCCCTCAGCTCGCCTCCCCAGCTAGGTTGATTACTTTTTGTTTCATCAGTGGATGCGCAGCTACCAGTCCAAGCACCAGATCTCATTTCATCATATCTTCCGAAGCGAGATTTCCACAAGCAAAACGGCTGAGTTATATGCTGAAGGACGCCACTGACAACTTTGTAGCTTTATCAACGACTTTCTGTTGGGCCCATTGACGATCTCTTTTCAGAGAAAGGGAGGCAGCTTTCGATGGCGTTCAACTTCATCACCGCAGCAGCTTTGCTGCTGCTTAGCCTTGCTGGCATTGTCTCCAGCCAATCACGCCCCCAAACTGGTGAGTGGGAAGCTTTGAGCCAGCTCTGGGAAGCACGGCGCTGGAGTTGCCCATGCACTAAGAATTATCGAGTCACGAGTCTCCAAGATATTGTGTACTTTTCAAAATATTGTTCTTTGACTTTCTGCAAAATGATCTGCCGCAAGGATTTTCGGGCTTAGTGGGGCTTTGAATGTGCTGGCATGAGGTACATGAGTTTGTATTGTTGTTGTGTGCATGCTTGTTCGAACAAGCACGCACACAATTCCTCGTCATTTCTTTGTTGTATTTACTTCTGGAGGGCTGCATTTGTCAGCTGTCAAGAACAAAACGGTTGCGCGTCGAGATTCCTCTGCAGAGTTCACAAGATTGCAACCAATTCTGAACAGGCTTGTCTCAAACAAGATTGAGGACTTGAAGCGCAAAAGGTATCATACTTCATTGATGTCATGTTTCTCAGCCCACTACAAAATAAGCGAGTCCTTCCTGACAATGTAGGAACATTGGAAAGTCCTAATTAATACCCCACTACTCTCGTGTGAGCTGGTCACCCCTGCTCAGAGAACGCGTCATGCATGATGCATCATTTCAAGAGTGCCTTCACGCCAATCTGCTTCTCTTCGGAGCAGAATCTATCAAGATGAGGGGAATCCAGCAGTTTTCCAAGGGTCGCCAAAGCCATGTCATTCTGCAAACATTTGATTTGAGTTGGTCAGCCAAAGTATATTCCCCTGACGTTTCGGAAGATGCAGATCTTACCCTGTGCATAGTACCGTTGCTGGCGTCAAAATGGGCCTTGCTGCCACTGGAGTCAGCACTCGCCCCCAGAGCTTTTGATTGGAAATGTAGATGTCGACATTCTTGTGCATCCATAATTAAGTACTCGGCTGGCTGCGGTGCGTGCAGGTTGCTTCCCCGTTGACCGGGTTGGGTCAGGCCAGATTCCGAATGTGCAACAAGCCCTCTATCAGTATAGTCAGCGTTTTAACGACTTCACCGGACACTTTCCGCCTGGAACAACTGCAGTAGTATTTTGTCAAACTGGTACGTGGGACCCTAATTTCCCTCTGGGAACGGGGCGGTCATCTCTGGTGTGCCGTCAAAACGGTGACACATACGATTGGGGATTACCTATTGTATGCGTACGTAAGTCGCAGTCACCTTGGGAGTTGCCGATTCCTGCTTTTGATGCAATACGGGTCTGCTGACTTTTTGTAAAATGTTGAGCTAAAATGTTCCTACCCTCTTGCCCCTTTGTATTGGGGGTTTACAACTAAGGAGATCACAGCAGCACTGGTTTTCAGATTGATTGAACAAACACGCTGGGACGTCACTTATTCAAGGCTTGTGGGTTGGTGGCAAAAATGGATGCTGCGAGCATTTCAATGTTTGGGGGATTGGGCTTATCTGCCTATCTGCTGCAGTTTATGGCCGCGTGCATTATGCAAATCTGATGCGGCCTCACCTCATATCATCGTAGCTTTTCCACCTTGCAGAAAGCGCCTGTGGTAGCATTATTAATAAGGGTTCCGAACGCGTCTTCTATGACGGCAAGCGCGGTGAGAGGGGCTCCTCAGGCTTCTCAGGCGGTGTGATCGCCACTTGCGGGGTTGACCCTTCGATAAGTGCTGTTTGTACCGGGCAAGGCTGGATTCCAAACAGCATTCAGTGTGGTAAGTGACTCAATAGTCGACCCGGCTCTCTTAATCGAGAACAGTCGGACCAAAGTTGACGGTTCTCTTTTGTCGGATCGGTATTTCAAATCAGTTGGCTTTGAAATGTCAATGCAGATCACTCGGGTCAGGCAGAAAAGCTTTGATGATGTGCTAAGATCTGTCTGGATAACTTGCAATTGGGAATGCCACTCCCTTTGCTCACTAGCGTACTTTTCACCTCTGAGGTTCGTCTAAATTAGGGAGAGCGATTGTTGATTGGTCTCTATGTACGGTAGCTCTGTACCACTAACCACCTACCTGACCCACCCTAGGCCCCAGTCGGTTACCTGAACATTGCCAGCTTATGGTGGTCTCTCTTGACCCCAAATCCTGTACTTCCTCAGGACCCATACACTACCATGGATGCCTGCCGCCCGCAAGGGGAGGCGACGGCGGGCCTCTCTGGCAGTACAACCACGACTTTGACGCAACCACGGGCCGTTACCCCATAGGGACAGCTCTGTCCGCCACGTGCTTGACCGGATACACAATTTCGGACCGCGAAGCACGCGGCGCTTGTAAATTCGACACGTTACAGTGGACGGGGACGGCGACGAAAGTGGAATGCAGTAAGCCACCTAGACCGGCTCGTCTTGATCGGAGTCTTCACGAGTCGGACCCCTCCAAAGGTCGCAACTAGTGTGCTTTGTCAATCTTCGACCCTGAATTCCTTTTCACATTTTGAGTCGCGAGAGAGGCCAGCGATATGAAGTTGAAGTACTGAAGTCCAGTGCCATGTGCAGCCTTAAAGTAGAGAAGCGTTGAGTTGTTGCAGCCTCGCATGCTCCAGCTTTATGATGGCCTCCCACATTACTTCGAAGCTCGAACCAAACGTGCTACTTACCCTCAACAATCAGTAATACAACGGAAAAAGAATAAGCAGATCGCTTTGCACTTTTGCATTTTGAAGCTTGTTTTTGAAAATGGAGTGATCTAGCGAAAGGCTGCATGCTGCCCCTTGGGGAGAAGTCTCAATGCCCAAAGCCTTTTGAGAACTTGAAAGCGTCGACTCTAAAACTTGCGGAGGAGTTCTCCACTGCAGTTCCTGGCTGCCCGTCTATCAGGGTCAACGGAGCAGGCAGAGTGTTTTACTCGGGCACTCTGGGCAGTAACTCCCGCTACTCGGGCGGTACGAAGGTTACGTGCGGGAGCAACCCGGCAAACACTGCCACTTGCTCGACCAACGGCAACTTTTGGACCCCGTCGTCAATAGACTGCGGTAAGCTAGACGTCTTTTCAACTTAGCATTAGTAAGCTCTAGCAATAGTAAGCTCCTGCGCTAACGCTAAAAATCCAACCCACAAAACCACCCCCTCCGCACTTGAACCCACCCTGACCCCCAAACTAACCCCACCCGTCCCAGGCTGGTTACCTTACTATTGCTTAAAAATGGATTTTTGTAAGCGAGGGCGATAGAATGCTGAACGCAGACCTAGGTCAGCTTGTGAGCCCCGTCTTTGAATCTGGAGTTCGCACGGAAGGCCCACAGTTAAGAGAATCGGGATAAGAGAAAGGAGGACAGGGAATTCTGCGCTAATTACGGAGTTGATTGATCGAGACAGCTTCGTTCGGAAGGTTCAGGGTTTGAGAGCCCTCTTTTTTATTCACTTGCGAACGAATAACAGCTGAACTGTTGCGCTCTCGCTCGAAATCCCGGGATCTGCGGGTAAACCCATATCTTGTTCAACCATAGCCGTGGCAAACCGGTTATGGCAAAGCGATTCATTGTCTAACAGAGCTTGCCCAAACGTTGTGCAGCGGCCTCGGCCTGCGGTAAAAACGACCCCCATTTCGAGCTGACGGGTCTAGCCACAAATGAGACGTTCACATTCGACTTCCACGGGCAGAGCCAGAGAGCTACTGCGCTGTCACGGATACGCGCCTGGCGGTGAGTCGCCCCGCTGAGGCCGCGACAATAACTTCCTTCAAAGGATGTAATTCTAAAATTTTCTTCACTAAGAGGGATCTGTTAAGATGTGCTTGGAACAGCCAACGTTTGTGCCTCTCTACATGAGGTTTCCTTTTCCGCTTTGCTGCTGAACCAAGAGCGAAGCTGATTTTGAGAGGAGCGTGCGCTGTCCCCGGTATACACCCGCAGATGACGTGCCGATGGTCTCAACAAGAAACCCTCGAAAGTGGAACGCTGTTTTTGTGTATTCGCCTGATAATCGATCGCATATCTCCGTCCTTTTTGGCAGCTCAATGTGCGCATGTTCGGCCTTTCCCCGGGCACGACGATCCTCTCGCCCCGCCCAACGGAGGACGACGACCCGTTCTTCGAAGGCACGTGGATGGACGCACTGGGCATCCTGTACGCTGACGTCAGCGGGGAGGAGCGTGACGTCAGCGTCGTCATGGACCCGGACCTGGACCGGGCCGGCCGGCCGTCGCTGTCCGTAGCGTTCCAGGGCGAAGCCGTCGCCGACTATAGAGTGGGTTTTGGCGGGTTTAAAAGGAGCCCTTCCTTATAAAACCCATCTTAAGTCCGTCGGTTGATCAGGTTGTTTTTGTTTGTAACCATCTACAGAGACGGAGCAGCTTATTGTGCCGGGAAGGCCCCGTTTTCCGGTCACGGGAAAGCGCGAGAAACTCCGTGCCTCTGAGCGGCCGACACGTCGACCGCCTGTTCGAACCCGAACTTCGGCAGACTTTCTCTCGGGGTCTGTCTTGGTTTGTCTCCGGTTTGGTAGACTTATTTTGGAGGAAGCGCTCAGAACTCTGAACTGGTCACTTCGAATGGGCGCTTTATATTTAACAGGCTGCAGCTTGGCCGCTCACCGGGACAGGAAAACTTAACAATATCAGATGTCTTCAAAAAAGACTTTGAAAACAGGGACAGGTCTTGCTCGTTCCGAATCAAGCGCTTGCTTCATGTGACCATTTAACGAAATACGAAGTCACCTCAACTTCTTCAGACCATGTGTCTTACGCGGCATTACTTTAATGAGACGTTCGAAGTTCAAATGAAGCAGGCTGACTTCCTCCTCATATGCAGGCAACGGGAGAAAAACACGATCAAATGCAACTTCACACCCTTTGATTACCTCAACTGCCCGTCACGGATCCCGCTTCAAAGCAGGATATAACCCCATGTTGCCAGCTGGCGCTTCTGGAGCTCATCGCCTAACCGGATTCTCGAGCAGGGCCAACTCAATGCCATGTGGACTAGCCCAGACGGCGCCACGTCCATCACGCGCGAATTCATCAACGGCTCCGACACCATGAAGGTTGTCATCGCCGGACTTCTGGACATCGACATCGTGACGAGCCGTGAACAAGAACTACTTGCCGATCCCCCGATCCACTTCCTCAACTTCTTCATCAACTCAATGGCGGTCGGGCCGTCGGTTCACGGGGTGAGAACCGCATCCTTAACTCTTAGAAACACGTTAGACCCCCCTCCTTCAACCCAGTCTAGCTAGATAACTCAACCGAGCCTGGAAAAGGGTTCGTTTCTTTTGGAGTGGTTCGAAAGCAGGGGAAGTATGCCACCCTTCTAAAGAGGGGAAGCCTTTCCAAGATGTATATCGATGCTCACCGGCGCACTCGGTAAAGGAGGGTTTCCAAGCCAGCACACTTCAATGATGCACTCGCATCTGTCAGCGAAACTTGATGTGCTGTTCTATTTCAAAAGCGTACCTGGCTGAAAGCGCCCCTGAGCCCCTTTGATCACATCCTGTTCGCTGCGAAAATTCAAACGCTTTTATCTGCCTTTTTGCTCATGTTTACTTGACGATTTGATCTTTTCTTTCAGGCTTCGGTTTCCATAAACGACCGCGCCAGACTCTGCTTGCTTGGGTAGATGACACTTTTAAGCATATATTCAACACAGCATATATTGGAAGTTCGCCACTTTGCGAGAGATGACTCCGCCAGCAACTTTCAAACCTCTCCCTCTTTCTGCATACGCGAGAAGTAGTGTAGTTCTGCTCGGCAACTAGTAGTCAAGTGTTAACCGCGCGGCTAATCCATTCTTTCGGGCGTCATCAGTTTCTGCGCCAGACGAACGCACTGCTTGGCAGTCAGTAAGTCACCAGTTAAGCGCGTCTAACCCAATTATTTGGGCGATCTCAGGTCCTACGGCCAGATTGTACGCCCAAGGTAGCTAGTGAGTTAACCCCGCCCCTAACCGGGTAATTTGGGCGTCCTGAGATTTTGAGCCAAATGTACATCCAAGATAGTTAGTGATATAACCCTGCCACTAACCCGGTGCTCTGGGCGTCCTCAGTTTTTGGGCCAGATGTACGCCCCGGGCGCTGTGGAAGACCGACTGGCGATGGGCACGCTCGAGGGACTGCGCCACCGCGAGTACGTCGAGGGGACGGACGACGACTACCAGACGTCAGCGCTGACGTCACCCGACTGCAGCTTCAACCGCTTCGGACAGGTGCGGACAGTCAATAGATCTTCTAATTGGGCTTCTTCACAATCTTCTCGTCACGTGTATTGTTTGCGTTGCGTCTAGTTAAGGAAGGGATGGGTCAGTGGACTGGGGGAATGGTCACCTGACGTCAGGCATGACGTCACCACAATGCAGCTTCAATCGGTCTGAGCAGGTGCAGGGAGCTTGGTTCCTTCGTCGAGTTTTGGAAGCAGGACGATCACGTTTGTAAACCGGGCCCGGAGTTTCAGTCCTGGCGGGCTACCTGTCGACGGCGAGCGTGACGTCACCTTTCTGCTGCCAACTCGACAGACCCAAAACTTTATACGCTTGAGCGCTGACTCTCGGCTCTAGTTCGCGTCTGGTTCGAGTTTCCTCACACTGCATTCCAGGCACCCAACGGTGGCGGGGAACTCTCCAACGTGACTGCTGTGGGCGACAGCTCACTCGTCCGGAGCAACGACGGCCCGCGGCGGCTCTTGCGCGCACTCGATTCCGGGCGCACAATCGCGCCGTCGGCCCGCTGCCGCAGGCTGGAGAACCGCAACGCTTTTGAGTGCGCGCTTGGTGAAGCTGCGTGCGCAAAGTGTTCGATCTCGATTAGATGCTTTATCAAGGGAAGTGCCAGGACCGGGACGACGGGTGGGGTTGGCTTGAGGACTTCGATCAAGGTGGGTACGCGTGTGGAGGGGATCATTTCTAGATCAATAGATCAAGGTGTTGGGTTTGCTTTTCGCTCGAGCACAATCCTTAGTCAACATGGAATCGAGTCTGGGTGCGGAGCAGGTCGATTTGGATTGAGGTTTTTAGTTTGCTTTTCTCCCGAGCACAATCCTTAGTCAACGTAGAATCAAAAGTGTCTGGAGGGGAAGCTCGCACGGGGCCTGACATAGGGTGCTCCACACTCGGGTGGGTTTGAATATCAACTGTGAACTCCGCGTTCCGCGGCGTTGTTTTTTACAAGCTTCTCTAGATCAAGGTTAGTCATGGAGACATACGACCAGATTGCGAGACTGGTCGAGCGTACGTAGATCGATTCTGTAAGGAGCAATTTCTAATTTCTAAGCAATAGCGATGAACACTATAAACGCCTGCCCTGTTTGAGATTGGCCGTTTGATACTCACCCGCTAAGTCTCCCGAATGTATGACCACAGCGCTTTCAAGCCTCTCCATGTGCACGTTTGAGACCGTCAAGATCTCAAACCGGGAATTGTGATCAATCTCAAGCCACGGTCGAGACCAAGCGCGTTCTCATGCACATGCTAGCTATATCGCAACAGCGGAACTGCGAAAATGATGAGAAAGCAAGCCCGGTCATGATCATGAATGGAATATAGGCGAAGAGCATCATTGCATGCACTAAGAAAGTCAAACTTGCAGGGGCACTTTCGCATCTTCAACCGTATGCTTGAATTGGCGCCGCCGTCCCCTCAGACATAGCCACACCGTGACCGCATGAGCGGACTAGTAGTCCCGATCGGTAAACTTGGATTGAGCAAAGCACCAATGGCAATAGAGCCACAGGTCAAGAAGCTCAATATGCGGGAAAGTATGCACATGTGATCGGACTTCACAAAATTACCTTCAAATCCAATTGGACCCGAGTCCGACATTCCTAGACGCGCGGCAACCGCGCGCGAGTGACCAGAGTCGCCTGCAGAATCACGAAACGTCTCACGTTGAAACGTGCTTATAGCCTTACTAAGCAGATAATCTTTCCCTTAGGATTTCCAAAGGCAACACCTGTCTTCAGAAGACACTTGCCGCCTGCTTAAATGCATGTCGTCGAGTCCCTGAAGGATTCTGCGAATGTAGTGAAGAACGAAGACGCCGCAGTCCTCCGACGCATCCGCCTGCAAGAATCTCAGAAGTGTCATTGATATCTTTAGCCCTCCGGTTAGACTCGATCCGTGGAAATGACGCAAGCCCTTATCTCCAAGGTTTTTCTTGTCCTCAGACTACCCATCAACGAGTACTGCGTCAAGAGCTCAAAGCACTCGGAACACGTGCATGGTATCTGTGATGATGCTTGATTCCTGAAGTTAAGTGCTTTTCAGGATTTGACATCTCCAATACCGGTTCCAATTCGGTAGAAAAGTGGAAGTTTAAAAGCTCCCCTCAGTCCATTGCAAAAAGAATCTGGATGGGACAGATGAGGGGCTTGGGGAGCGGGCAGAACGGCAATACAGACTGAGCAAGAGAAAACACCGAGAAGAACCGTTTGCGGGGCAGGGCGGAATCATGCAGCTACGGGCCGGAAACGGAAGAGGGGCGCTCGGAGTACTGGCGAGCCCCGGTACTCGAGAAAGAACCGGGGCGCGGTCCGGAAGCCGGGGTTTCTCGGGCTGAGAACGGAGCAGGATTGCCCAAGTGGATGAGCGGACCGTGGAAACAGGAGCAGAAGTGCTCGGGGATGCCCCGGGAAAATGGACAGAATCCAGGAGCCGGGGGAGAAGTGGAACGTGGGCGCCCGGGGCCAATGGTCGGAACCAGAAAGACCCAGGGTATGGACGGAAGTGGGGCGGACCCAAAGTGGAAACGGAACGGGGGCGGCCGGAAATGTAAACGGAACGGCGCTGTCGCCTGGGACGGACGGAATAGGGGTACCCCGGGGGTATGACGGAAGCGGGGCGCCCCGAGAAACAGAAGGAGCCAAGAGACCACGGTGCAGACAAAGAAGAGGGACGCCAGACTGGATAAGGCCGGAAAGCCCCGGGGCACGCAGGGAACGGAACCGCCCTGAGGGCGAGACGGACGGAAGTGAAGAGGCCCAGGGCAGAAATGGAACCGGGTCTCCCCGGCGGACGGGTGGCAGCGGGAAATCTAGGGGAACGGAGCGGAAGGGGCCCGGGCGCCTGGGGGAATGGACGACACCACACAACCCTGGGAACGAAAGGGAACATTCCACCCCCAGAAAAAAATCCCTTTTGAAGGATGCGCTGCCCAACAAGCCCGTTCGAATCTTGATAAAAGGAGGATTCGGATAATATAGACTGTACATGTTTCGGGCAGGCGGGCACCAATACGATCCACGAGTCAGCAGCAGCTACAGGATATCGATATCGGATCCGGCGTAGAAACGTTTCACAACCTGTCACAGCAGAACATGCTAGGTCGAAATCTTGATTAATTACAAATTACTGTAAAGAGGCACTTGTTAACTCAACGGCAGGTTGAAAAAGTCAACTCCGCTTCGGGTTGTACGCCTGCCGGGGCCTCCTCGAGTTGCCCGGCTCAGTTTTCAATGTAGTTTCTTTCGAAGCAGCGTTCTGACGGACTGATTGATGATTGCCTGGCTCTCATGTACTTGAAGTGTGCATGCAAAAAAGTCCCCTGAGACAGAACGCTGGAAACACGCGAGCATAATGAAGAAAACAAACAAGCAACGGTTGACTGGATAGTTACCTTAGGGGGGCACGAAAGTACTTGGAAAGCTTCCTGCTCTTGACGTTGTTTTACCAGCTTTTGAAGGAGCCTGCTGATAGTTGGTATCCTGACGTTGCCGAGATTCATGGCGGCCGCGACGCTACTGAGGTCGCATAACTATGTCGCGGCCGCGCTGCGCGCCTAAACCCTGAGCCCAACCTGAATTTCTTTCCACAAGAGCAGACCGATGACAGGCAACGGCATCAGCACTCCGCTTCACGGCTTCTGTGCTCCTTCTGTGACTCTGAAATTCCTACATGGTATGCTAGACCTCTAATTCTTCTTTCTACAATGTTTTCCAGAGAAGCCCGGACGGTCACTGCCACTGATCCAGTCAATAGGCCCAAGCGCCACCAGAAAGTCCAGAAGGAGATGAGCAATCCAGCTTCCGCCTCGTCAGGTTCACAATCTTATTACCTCACCACGTCATTAAGGCGTCCATTCCCCGCGAAGGTGACAAGACATTGGCGGCGGTGTCGCGTCGCCCCCGCGGCGCGTCGCCGCGCAACATCTAGACGGTCCGCTTCTCCCTTCCCCCCTGGTGGATCTGCACCCGCCCCATTTCTGTCCGGCTCCAGACAGGACTGCATCCGCGCCCCCCGTTCTGCTGCTCATGCTCCCCGGAAAACACTGCCCCGTGACGTCAGCGGCACGCATGAAGGGGTGCCATTTGGCTTGGACGCTTGACATCAAAGTCCCTCTCCATCGAGTGTGGCCCTGCAATACCAGCACATCTTGAAGTAGGTCTTTTCAAAATCACCGGTTTGAACCAGGTAAACGGCTTGCAGCCTTCCGTAATAGTGTTCCACATGAGCTGCCCCCTTTCCGAAAGCAGAAGTTCCGCTTTCACGCCGGAGTCCTGGGTCACTCTAATTCCTTCATAAATTTGAACTGGACGCTGTGAGCGGAAGTGGCAACGTAGAAGGGTGACGTGCTCGTAGAGCGCGGCTAATCATGGCCCGCAGGTCCATAAGCCAGACTCCGCAACTTGTCACTCAAGCAGAGGCCACTTGCTGCAATCCAGTCTGGGAGAAGCTTTGGGAACTTCTGAAGCGGCGCCGGATACCTCAATGCAGTATGTTGATGGCAAAATATATATTGGCGTTGACGAGGGAGGGCATGCTGTACTTTACTGAACGGTCGGAACTCCACGTGCACCTTCTTTAAGGAGGTCCGAAAAAGCAGGCTTGTGATGCGAACAAGAGCTAAGGAATACAAAGGCATGAAGCACGCGTCTAATCTATCTACCTGGTACGCGAACGTGCAGCCATGGAAACGTGCTATCAATTGCATGCTGGCCTGAATCGCGTTCACAATGAGTTCAATTCTTATCATCCTGGGAATATATATAGCTCGATGATTTTCTCAAGATATCTTGCGTCTTTTCGTCTACGTCTTTCTGCCTAAGCCCAGTCTAGAATTGCTTTGTCAAGCGGCAACGCTGCAACTCTTCATGGATGTACAGTAGTATACAGGACCTCCTACTCACCACAGATAACGACATGGAGCAACGGCTTGTGCATGACCACGTAAGTTAAATGCTCGGCTTGCTCCTTGCTGGGAAACTGGACAACCACAAACTACACAGACGTAGCTAAAACCTCGTTATATCTAAGAGATTTTAGCCCGTGAACTGCTACCGAAAACCGTGGCACAACATGACATGCTCGGGGCGAAACCCACCCTGAACCCCAAACCAACACCACCCGTCCTCGTCGAGAACCTTGTTACAAAACGAGCTCCTTCCTACAGTATGTTAAACTACTATGATATCTTAGCAGGGCTGTGACCAACCGCTCACGAGCTTGGATCGCTCACGCTTCGCCAACCGCGCACTCAAAAGCGTTGCGGTCATCGAGCCTGCGGCAGCGGACCTGGCGGACGGACGGCAAGATTGGGCGAACCGAGTCGAGTGCGCGTAGGCGCCGCTGAGGGCCGGCGCCCTTGCTCCCGAGAAGTGAGCTGTCGCCTATAGCAGACGCGTCAGCGACGTTCCCACCAGCATCGGAGGCCTGAAAAGCAGCGCGAGAGAGTCGACGCACTTCAAAACTCAAGAATATTGAACAGCGGCCATTCAGAAACACTACTGCTTTGGGGTATGATTTCGGAGGAAAGCCCCGGAAGTTCCAACAATTGAGTGGTAATCTCGGTGTGACTACCGTGTCCATCACTGCGGAGGATTAAAAGATGGCACCGAAGCCACCCGCCCACGAAGCCAAAACTCAATTGCGCCAGGTTTTTTCCATTGTCGAGAAGACAGCAGACATGTCACGCTTACCATCATATAGCCAATTTGAAGACTTCTTGCACCTGCTTGGACCTATCGAACTTGAGCGGGAAACGTCATGTCTTACGGCAGGTGGTCACCTCATCCGTCTTTTGGCCTTCCACTTCCTCGAGACGCAAAGCAAACACCTCAAAGTCTCTGTCGCCAATCAGATAAACCGGTGACTGATTGTTCGTACCTGTCCGAAGCGGTTGAAGCTGCAGTCGGGTGACGTCAGGGATGACGTCTGGTAGTCGTCGTCTGCTCCCTCGACGTACTCGCGGTGGCGCAGTCCCTCGAGCGTGCCCATTGCCAGACGGGCCTCCACAGCGCCCGGGGCGTACATCTGGCCCAAAAACTGAGGGTGCCCAAAAACACAGGGGGTTAGACGCGCGGTTAACAGATAACAAGAGACTACCAAGCAGTGCGTACACTTGGCCCAGGAACTGAGGACAGCCAAAAGGTGGTTTGAATTAGCGGTTAACGGTTGACTCCTGCTTCCCAGGCAGGGCGTACGTCTGGCCCAGAAACTGAGGACGCCAAACAACAGGGTGTTAGACGCTCGGTTAACAGCTAACCAGAGACTAGCAAGCAACGCCTACACTACGCCCAGGAACTGAAGAGGAACAAAAAAGTGGGTCCGAGAGTAGCGGTTAGCGGTTGACTCCTGCTTCCCTGGCAGGCGGTTCACAACTAACTACGGAGTCCTGGGCAGGGCATTTGAGTGATTGGTTACGAAGCTTCGAGAAAGAGCCCAATCAATGTTGTGACACAATCAGGAATTCCGTCAAGGCTTGCAGTCAACCTAGCATTGCAAATGTCTGAGTTGCAATCTGCTGTGGTCGTCTCCGCCTCAGCGTTGTCTCTCGGAACCAACACTTTTTAGAAGAATCGTCATCAGAGTGAAGGAAAGGATTGAAAAGCGGCGACCAAGTCCTAAGAGTTGGCGGGCGTGCGATCAGGTCCAGCTTTATCTTGGCTGAAAAGTTCCGGCCAAATTCGCTCAAAGTTGTCTTATCCAGCACTGGGACAGTCTGGTGCGAGCGGTTTGAGATGATCGAGGTTAACTGGTGTGTTGAACTTGTTCCAGCGCGACGGAATGTTTCTGACCAACATCTTGATTGCTTCTGCCCTTCTTCGGCGATAATGTCGTAGTCGAAAGTGTTATGTTGAGCAGTGCTTCTGATCAACAAATGAACTCTGTGAACGATTGCGTACGGTCATCAGAGGGTCGACCAGCTGGCGAAAGATTACTGTGTGCGGTAGTGATTTTGCTGGCATCGGTTCAGATGAGGGACAGAGTATCGCATTCCAGCAGGTCGCTTGCTTTGCCCCTCAAGTCGAACCATTCAAACATGAGGGACTTCTGCCCCAAGCCTAGTTAGACGAATCTGGTCGGGCTGAAGGCGGGGCTCTTCTTGATTAAGGATGTGACTCACCCCGTGAACCGACGGGCCGACCGCCATCGAGTTGATGAAGAAGTTGAGGAAGTGGATCGGGGGGTCGGTGATCAGCTCTTGTTCACGGCTCGTCACGATGTTGACGTCCAGAAGTCCGGCGATGACAACCCGAACGGAGTCGGAGCCGTTGCGGAAGTCGCGCGTGATGGACGTGGCGCCGTCTGAGCTGGTCCACGTGGCATTCGACTGGCCCTGCAGGAGAAATCGCATAGGCGATGACGCCTCGGATATATCAGCTGGTGATGTGGAATAATCTGCTCGAAAAAGCCGGAAGCAGTGTACACCTGACTTAGAAGGATAATGTCTCTCCTTTGCCTGCATCTGAGGCGTCCCTGGAAGTGATTGTCATGCTGGAGCCTGAAACTAAGACTCTTGACTAAAGCGAGCTTGCTTGACAACAGGCTTTCGACTGTCCAAGAGATCCGAACGATCGACTCACTCCACGAGATGATTCCTAAGAACGTCGGTGGTCACAAGAAGCAAGCGCTTCATCCAGAACGAGCAGAATTGCTCCCGCTTCCAAGCCCTTCCTTGACAACTTCTTGGTATCATGGTCAACCTGGTCAACCTGCGATCGAGCAGCCGTGCAGATGCTAAGTACACGTTGAGAGTGGCCGGCCAACTTTGCTTTCTGAGCGACTGTTTTGCATTCAGCAAAACAGACCCCAAAAAAATGTATGTCGACGCCTGCGTTGAAACTGACGTCCGATCGAAACGTTGCGACGCCAAGGCGCAAGATTCTCCCGCGCTTGAGTACAAGGGCTTCTCCAAACCGCGCGATCTCACCTTGTATTCGGCGACGGCTTGGCTCTGGAACGCGACGGACAGCGACGGCTGGCCGGCCCGGTCCAGGTCCGGATCCATGACGACGCTGACGTTATGATTCGTCCCGTTGACGTCAGCGTACAAGATGCCCAGTGCGTCCATCCACGTGCCCTCGAAGAACGGGTCGTCGCGGCGGCCCTCGAGGATCGTGGTGCCCGGGGGAAGGCCAAACATGCGCACGTTGAGCTGCCGAAAAGAGGGCCGGGAAACGATTTTCTGTACATATCATACTATCTGTAGTAGTGATATTAGTATCATATGACTGGATGGCATTCTGACATGCGTCGGCTGGGTTGACAGACACCGAAGGCTGATAAGGCTGCATCAAGCCCGGCCCTTTTTTCCAGATACCCGGACTACAAACGAACCTGGTTACGGCAAAGTGCTTTTGGCGCTCTTTTGGATACGCTGCTCTTCAGAAGATCTCTGCCACCCTGATCCATGTCAAATCGCAGTTATCTAGTGGTCTCTAAAGATGTTTTTGAAGCATCTGATGTCGTCTTTGGCATCGGACAATGGTCGTCTCCTAGCCATCTTCAGGGCACAGCAAGAAGCACGGACGAAACAAGCACGAAGTTTCGCTCCTCACTTTACTTGGTCAAATCGTACCTAACCAGTTCTTAGAAGGCCATCTAACTTAACCGGAGCCTAACCACGCTTGGTAAGTAGCAATTTCCCTTAAGAACGATTTTGGCTTTCGAAACTAGACCAAGTTTGTAAGAGCCCGTTTATGTCGGTTCAGCTAGACCACTCACCGCCAGCCGCGTGTCCGTCACAGCACAATAGCACATTTGGCTCTGTCCGTGGAAGTCGAATGTAAACGTATCGTTCGTAGCGGCCAGCCCCGTGAGTTCGAAATGGGGGTCGTTTGCACCGCAGGCCGAGGCCGCTGCAAAACATTCGCGGAAAAGTCTTCTCTTTGTAAGACATACCCGTTTCCTAGCAGCTTTTTGAGATGACAGGACGGAGATTCACCGGCCAAAACGTGGCTTTTCAAACGAGAGCGGAAAGATGGTCAGAGTTTATTCGTAAATAGTGGGACGGAAATAGTGGGACCGTGGCCTTCTTGGTTTGAGCGGTTCGGAGCAGAAATTGTTTAGTCGATCGGTCAGTTTCCTATGCGCGGAACCGCCAATAGCGAGCCAAACCAAGTTCTTGCTTCGCGTTTCCCCTTGATCTCCATTCCGCGGACTGGCCCTCACAGGCTGATATGGCTTGCGCACCGCAGTCTCTCGTTGTCGCTCACCGCAGGTTATGGACGACGGGTACCAAGTGCCCAACGGCGTGCAGACGGCGGCACCGTTGGGGTCGTTCGAATTGATGCTGCACCTAGCGTACACGCGATCCGAGTAGCGGCCATTATTACGGCCGAGGACGCCCGAGTAACACACTTGACCGGGCGGGTTACCGTTCACTTGTATCGCAGAAGGACAGCCATCCTCTGCAGCGAAAGGGCTGCAAGTTAGGATTGCTTGCAGTTTTGCCAGGTGACGATTACTAGACTCTCGAGGTTCTGGAACACGACTTGGGCTCTAAGACTTCGCCAAAGGGGGCAGCAGCCTGCAGAGCGGCAGTGAATCCTGAAAGTTTACAAGATGAGGGCTACAAAACGGATAATAACATCATCTGGACTCAAAGGAGCTTCCGAGACTCTGGCTGCTGTCGTGAAGATGATGCATCTGCAATGTGCAAGGCCGCATCTCATCCATGTTTCGACGTATCTCCTTGGAGGTGAAAAAGTAGAGCTCCGGATTCCATCAGGACTCCGAAGCTCCAGCACGTAGACTTTCAACCCGCGACTCAATAATAGAGAAGACACTCGTCAAACTCAGCAACGCACGCTCTCTGGCCCTGGGCTTGGGGAAAACCAGGGGAAAACCGTCTTGTGAAAACTCTTAAGACACGGTGCACAGAGCTTTGGCAACATAACCGAAGCTAAAATTCCCTGGTTAGCAGCTGATTAGGGTGCTAAGCAGCCTGCCTGTCGTCTGGCGTCTGGTTAACAGGAAAGGAAAACTGAGTAGGCGGCTTACTGCATGTCGCGGTAGTCAACGACCCCGTCCACGTCCCGTCTGATTGGCAGTAAGCGCCTGACGAGAAGCCGCTGGCGGCGTTTGAATCTATATAACCATCCAAGCACTTGGCGGTCGCAACCGTGTTTGCAGGATATCGGCCGTCGCTGTTGGGGTCCTGGTTGTACAGCACGAAAGGCCCGTTGGCGCCTCGCCCAGACAAAGTGAGCGGCGGGCATGATCCTGTAACCGGCGCTTTCTCTGCAGGAATGCATTTAGAAAGCGATGCAGATCTCTTTTGCAGAAATGTTCGCCTTCAGACATGCGTGAACTCATTTCGGAGGCAAAGGTGATTAAATTATCTGAAGGCACGTGGTTTTGGGCGTTCTATCAGTGTGCGTGCCTCGCAAGTTTTTCGTTTCATGTATGTCTGGCTCAGCTTGGTCTGAGATGTGGACTCTGATGAGGAACAACAGCATCGGAGAGCGCTTAAGACTGCAAGCTTGGATAGGCATTTGGTCTTGGCAAAGGAGGAAGGCCGCTGCGTCTCAGGTTGAGTCATTCAGCTAACACTTGTTTGATTGAGCTGCAGATTCAGTTCAGAAGCTGAATGGGTCACGTCATGGTCTAAAGAGAGTCGTGCGGTTATGCAACACGACAGAGTCTGCCTGCGGAGCTGCCTTGAGGTTTAGAGAACAGTCAGCAAGCTAGCGTCCTTGCTGCAGTGCAATCTCAAAGGTACAAAGCACTCAAGTGAGCAAAGGAAGTGGAAGCCCCAGATCTTTACTTTTCCAGTAAGCCCCAAAGTCAATGTTGTTCTGCAATATCTGAATGTCCAACGTCAACTGATTCTTTGATCACCATTGAAAATTCCTGCCGCAACTCCGCAACTTCGATCCAAGATACCTGGGTTCCAGAATCTAAAATGGTGGGAATCAGTACAGGTATGCCACTTACCACATTTGATTGTGGACGGACTCCAACTCGTATCCGGGTTACAAACAGCTCTTATTGAGAGGTCAGCCCCGCACGTGGCGACCACACCATTCGAGAAGAAGCGGCGAAAAGCATCGAGCTTGCCGTCATAAAATACCGTGTGCTCAGAACCCGTGTTGGTGATAGGAGGACAGCCAGGGTCTGCAAGGAAGAGAACCCAAGGTTTACTTCGACAGAAAAATCATCTGCTCCACGATAGCAATGCGGACAGGGCGAGGCACAAGACATATCTTTGTAATGGATGGTAGATCATGATAGGTAATCCACAAATGATGGATGCACACGTCTGAACGTGCTCGCAACATCCACATCTCAGTGCCCTACCCATCCCAAGCACCGGCCTAGGTTGCACTCTATAATCAGTCTGTTGTGAAGCTATCATAGACTACAGTCTGAATTGTTCACTTTCAAAACAGGAGCTGATGTTAGCCGTACGTTAAGATCAACATATCGGCTAACCTACAATCTTGCACTAAGTAAGCATGGTGTGGTTGTTTTACGAGAATGAAAAGCTCAAAACTATATCAAAAATCTGAACATAAAAATACAACATTCGATAGAAACGAAGCTGAGGCTGAAGATGCAGGTTTATGACTACATTGAAATTCTGCAACAAGAAAGTTCTTGAGCAACTTGAAGCTTCCTGAGGGCACCTGAAGCATAATATCGAGGTCACTGTTACTGGCCTTGTTGTGAATAACCTTGTCTGGGCTACCCAACAGCACAGCATAGAAAAAGTTTTTACATATGCAACAATCAATCTGCGTCCCAACACGGCTGTTGGTGAAGGATCTGTGCATCTGTGGATCGATTACTAAGTCCGAAAGAGGGGAGGAAGTACAATTAAGCGATCTCAGCGTGACAAATTGCATGTTACAAGTCAGCAGGCAGTGTAGATCCTTTCCCAATAGATCAAGGATCTTCCAAGGTGACCGCAACTTACTGCATGTTGTAGGTACGTTTCCTTGCCAAAAGTAAATTGTGCCATCGAAATTCTGAACGCACTGCCCCCCAGATGCTCCGTGTGGGTCTGAGAACCCATCCAGACACTTGGATATGACCCGTGTTCCAGGCAGATACCGTCCAGTGCTTGCATCAAATGGCTGGCCGAGGTACAGATAGGCTGGTCCGCGAGGGCTTTCATTGCTGCCTTGGGGCACGTCAAGGGGGGGGCAACCTGCGGGGAAAGTTGGCCAGGGGAGTTAAAAGGTGCACTTACTGCAACCTTTCAGTTTCATAGATGAGAGCTCAGCTGGGGCTCTGAAAGTTTAGCTCCAAGAGCAGGAGTTTTTTCGGTTTCAAGAACATGCCAGGCTAGTACCTGCAGGAAAGCCACTCAGTAGGCAGGCTTGGATCAAAGTACAACGAGCGCACCTCAAGCTTATGTTTGGTGCAAAGACTGAAGAAAAGTTAAAAATGAGAGATCATTGCCAAATGAAAGCTAAGGTAGTTGAGTGATTAAATCACCTGGCAGAAAGTTTGAGGTCAGCCGCTTGTCAAAACTCTTTGCTGACGACAGAGAGTGATAAGAACATGGTCTCATTAGGGGACCCTTTGTATTGAAGATGGTTGAATAAACTTTGTTACAAGGATGGCATGGCCGCCATCCCTAGAGAAAGCCCATGGGTACCTGCTGGTTGTCCCTGTTGAACAGCGCAGAGCAACGTCTTCCCAACCCCATCGCCTGATTCAGGGCTCAGCTCAAACAAAGACTCCGACATTTCCACCTACATGTATATACTGTGTCTCACACTACATTCATGAAGCACTTTCTTGGACCAGCCTATGCTTATAAGCAGCTTCGTTGTGTCACCATAAGACCCTTGAACATTTTGTCCTGCACTTTTTCACAATTGAGCTCTGCTTGGAAGGACTTTCTGCATTATGCAGAAGTTGAGGTCCGAGTCTGTGCTTTTAGAGCATATGCTGCCATGTGCGTGCTTGTTCCATGTAGGAGTCTTTTAAGGACGAAGCCGCTCTAGAAGGGCTGCACTGATTTCTCAGTCGATGAGGATGACCTCAAACTTGCGACAAGGAACTCCATTGTGCAGGTAAATGGGCTTTATAGTTTGCAACCAATTGCTGACAAGTACAGGTCTTCTCAGAACGTTTCTAGGGCGAAACTTGCATCAGTACGAGAAACCAGATTAGTTGTGCAGCGTTTTCAGCTCAATGTTCACGAAATACTTATCCCAACTTAGCTGGCCACTCACCAGAAACACCGTCTTGGCCGGAGACAATGGCGGCAAGGCTGAGCAGCAGCGAAGCTGCTGCAATGGTGTTCAACGCCATCAGAAGTCAGAAGCTGCCGGCTCCTGTCCTCGTCGAAGACCAGCAATGGTGTGCAGCTGTCGTGCTTGGGAGCCTCTCGTTTCAGAGGGTAACGATATATGCAAGAGTCCTTCTAATGTTTCTAGTCTACAAAACTTGGTGCTGGGAAGGCGTCGTCAGAGGGCTTTCTCCTGCTTGGACGTTGCCGACCCTGCCTCCTTGCTGTCCTTGCGACGACATTCCTGTGCTTATCCTGCTTTTTGAAAATCTTGCGCATTCAAAGTTGAACCTTCAGGTGAGGAAAGGCTAGCCGTTGACAATGTTGAACGTACTACCCATCATGGACCCCAGGGCCCATCATATATGCCGGGTGTTGGGGTGTCACCAATGTTGTGATGGTCCTGACTGCTGACTCCTGCTCCTGAGTGACAGAAAAGTCAGGCTCAGCCACTCACAATATTCACAACAGTATCCTGACTTACGTAACCCCAGTATTACCGCAGAATTGCTACATACGCGTTAGAGGCGAATTCAAGGTAACTCGAGCTATGTAACTAACCGCATGTAGCTGGCCTAACTTTTTTCACGCCAAGCCAGGCGCTAATGACAGCCTTCCTGACTCCTGACTCCTGACTCCTGACTCCTGACTCCTGACTCCTGACTCCTGACTCCTGAGCTTGCAACTTGCAAGATGGAAGGCGTAAGCAATTGCGTTTGCATAATGCATACTGAGTACCTAAATATTCGGGCATAGGGCAATCACCCGCATTTACGAGCGATGTCAGACCGAGGCCC